TGTTTCACGGTTTGATTTGGTCTCCGTGAAGATTAAAAAAGGTTTAATGCCGTACTGTTACAGGTCAGATCTGTGGAGAGTAGGGCTGGGTATCATTAAGAAGTTGCCGATACGATACATATCTCGATACAGTGCATTTTCGATTCGATGTATATAAAATTGATTTGATATGGTTCAATAAAAAATAAAGGCTAAAATATGACTGACACTAAAATGTTATTAGGTTCTTTTTTTCAGACCTAGAGTGTTATTTCATACCTGACAGTTTCGACTGCTCACTAGCGTCTTCCTCAGAGTCACGTGATGTTGCTGTGACGTGTCCAGTCAGCTGATTTAAACAGGTTTTGGTCTCTAGGTCTGAAAAAAAGAACCTAATAACATAGAATATTGGAAGACCAAATGAATCTCATTGGACTGTGACACTAAAAGATTTTCTTAAACCACTTCTTGTGCAAAGTGAATATAAAACCCAAACATTTTATTCATCAAAACAGTGAAATGTCAAACGTGTCGCATAAACGAGTTTCCTTCCTCTGAAAAAGCAACAAAACTGTAACAAAATAATTTAGTAAAATATATACGAAAAATACTTACTTGGTGATACATCGATACAGCAGTCCCTGATATCGATACTGTATCATCACATTAAACGATACGATATATCGATATTTAGATATTTTTGCACACCCTTAGTGGAGAGGCAACCCCACTCAGAGTTCTTGTTTTTCTAGGATTTTTTTGAGCTATAAAAGAAAGAAAAAGAGATAAATGTAGGTAAACTACATTCCAGATCGAGCAATCCATAGAAACCGACGACGGACCCCCCCCCCCCGACCAAAAACCCGCGTCGTCCGTTTATATTAAAGTTGCACCGTCATCAGTATCGTTTGGTGTCCGCTGTAGCCTCTCCGTGCTGAAGCCCCCCCCCTTCAGAGGCGCTTGGGGCTCGGTGTCAGAACTGGAGCTGCTGAGTCACTTCAGGAGCAGCTGGAATAAAGTGACAAACTCCACAGACACAAACACCGGGTCTGTGCGAGGGCGGCCGCCGGGTGCCAAACGACGGCCCCGGAGACAGATTGCTTTTCGAGTTTTATCACGATTTTATGAAGACTCAGAGATAGGGGTCAGTGATGATTTAGAATTTATTACCGTTTTTATATTTTGTACTCTTTGTTATTATATTTTATTGTGACGTGTGAGCGACTGTGTCCAAGTTATTTCCTTTGTGGATCAATAGTTTGTCTAAATCTGATATTAATATATATAATTAACTTATATTTTGGACCATTTATAAGAGCAAATGGACTATTATGGAACCTACCTGAACCACGTAGGCATTAGATATAAGGCCAAATGTAAAAGTAATATTAAAGAACTGTAGGAATCAAAGTCTTTAAGCTGAATTTGACCAATAAAAACAATCATGCATGAATAGATGTTTAAATAGATGCATTTAATGCCATAGTGTTGAACATTCCAGGCAAAACAATGACATCTCCATGGAAACAGACGGCATTATACATGGTCTAATATGGTCTGAAAATTAAAATGTAATGGAAAAACAGAATGATCTTGAGCTGTATTAGAGCAAGTATAAGAGCACATAGACTAAAAAAAAAACTATTTTCTTCATCATTTGTCTCCAAAACCAAAATGAAAAAATGGATAATCGTTTGCTTTTTCAGTTTTCGATGCTGTGTGTAAATGATTAATGGAAAAAAACGGATAACGGCCGTTTCTGTGACTTAAAATGTGATGCTGGACTTCTGCATCGGGCGAGGACCGGGGGGCGAGGACCCGGGGGGGGCGAGGACCTGGGGGGGCGGAACCCGGATGGGGAGCGGAGGACCGGGCGACTGGGAGCGGGCGACTGGGGAGCGGGCGACCGAGAGCAAATCGAAAACTTTTGGTTTTGGAGACAAATAATGAAGAAAATAGTTTTTTCTTTTTCTTATTTTTGGTTTTATTTTGAAAAACGAATGATACATGGTTTGAAAAAAAAAGTACTTGCATTTAATGTTAATCACATTCTATTGTCTAAAGAAAAGAGTTTTTATTGTCATTGTGGTATCAGAATCAGTTTAGAGTATCGAGTCCTTTTTAGTATCGAAATAGCGATGTCACGATACTAAAATTTCAAACTCGTATTTTCGAGTATCCCTGTAATAATATTCAGACGGTGTTGCATTGTGTAACTTTTCCGTCAAATGCTTGTCTGGAATGTTTCACAGTGTGGCATTAAAACCTTTCTATCTTCATGGAGACCAAACCAGACCAAGCTACAGGTCAGATCTGTGAAGAGGCGACCCCGCTCAATCAGATTGTCTGTTTTTCTAGGTATTTTGAGCTGTAAAACATTGAATAAATGTAAAGGTAGGGCTGTTTTAATGTCACACTGTGGAACATTCCAGGCAGAGCAATGACGTCTCCATGGAAATGAGCAGAAGCAGGTGATGGACCAGAAAAGTTACACAATGCATCGATCTCTGTTCTGTGGCGTGTGTGTGGCTTTTTTAAACTCTTAACAGAAACGCGCAGCTTCGGTTTAAGTGGGTCAAGTCAATTATTGATGTAACTGGCTGCAATGTATTTTTTATTCTTGAACATTCAAATATTATGTAAACGATTTCTGCTTTTTGTGCTCCCGTCTAAACGAACGGACACCTGAGTGCGACAGAGCAGAACACGGGAAGAGAGGCGGTTTATGCAAATTGACTTAACTGAAAAAAACTTGTACAGGGTCATGGAAATCCTGGAAAATCCTGGGAATTTTTAGGCAACTGTCAGGCAACTACAGCTTTCCTTTAAGTTCTCATTAGGCTTTTATGATTTATTTCTGAACGCATTTTGTTTTCAGAGACGATAATAAATGCACTGACAGTATTTTGAGTGTTAAACTATTAGGGATGTATCGTGATATCGTATCGTCAAAGTTCTCAAAATGATATCATGGAGCATCACAATATATCGAATTACAAGTCTCTTTTTGCTTAAATGAAGAGTTATGGTGCTGGAATAGCTAAAAAAGACAGAGGGAACTACATAGACCATGATCCTTTGCTCCATTTCAGTGTAGACGACAAGAAGAAATAACAGTTCTAACACTTCAGTTTTAGTTCTTTGGATTAAGTCTTGTCAAGGCTTTTTAAGAGGAAAAAGGAGATTGTTAAACAGTTTCAGAAGTTTAGCCTCCACAAAATATCGCAATAAATATATCGTGAAAATATCGTTCTGTGAGATTTGGATAATGTTACGTCTCTAATAGTGAGCCTCCCCCCACCATATCGTGAGCTTTCCCATGATATCGCAATAAATATCGTACCGTGAGGTTCATACTAGGGATGGACATGATTGGTCGACTAATCGATAATTGATCATTAAGAATTTCGTCGATTTTATATTTATTTCTAATCAACAAACCAAATGTAGGTAGATATGAAGCTGCGTCTGACACAAACACTGGAGTTGTGGCCTCACAGTCCCACGTTTGGGCTCTGGCTCCTTAGAGACACTGTACGACTCAATGCACATCTGTATCCCGGTTTCATCATGGTGCATGTTTACGCAGTATCCCGGTTACTGCAACATGAAGAGCTGTGCTAAACCTGCACACGTACGATCTTTGAAAACATCGCGAAGCACAGAACAGATTCACCATCATCAGCATCCCTCCGTCACAGAAAGAACTCATATTCCACTGAGTCGTGTCTTTTAGTCTGACAGAAGCTGAACCGCATCAGCGCACGAGCGTTTTTTTTTTTTTTTCTCCACTTAGTTTATGCAAATTATCCATGCGGTTTTAAGTTTTGTTTCTGTGAAACTTGCGCAAAGCTGCATAAAATACATTATAATGTCAAACGGGCTGATGTGACTCTAGAGTCGTTTTGGTTTATATGTTGTAAAGTTGAGTTTATTTATGCAGATTAGTAATAGTAATAATAATGATGCTTATTATATAAAAACATTAATGATGAATCGAAAATCGTTATTTAATTCTCTCGACGATCGAATAATAAAATTTCATCTAATGCCCATCCGTAGTTCATATCGTATCGCAAGACGTGGATATCGTTACGCCCCTAAAAACTATAATGCATAAGGTGAATGGAAAGTGTTAACATTTCATATTTAGCCCAAAAATTCACTTTAGGTCATGGAAATGTCATGGAAAAGTTTGGAAATTTTTGTCAGTGAAAAAGTGGGAAACCTGAATTTCAGGTTGAAGCGCCCGTATTTATCTTCTGGTCTCTTCTAATGTTTCCTCATCACAAACAGACCTGGAGTTGTGTTTTGTTTCATTCACACGTTTTAACACCCCCCCCCCCCCAAAAAAAAAAAAACTATCTCTACTGAACAAAAGGTAAAATGAGCTGTTAACTTAAACTTCCACCACATGATGTCACAAGGTGGGACACAGCATTTTGAGCTTTGAACTATAAAGAATTACTCAAACATGTGTGAATGAAACAGAACACAACTCCAGGTCTGTTTTTTGAGGAGGATTCAACATTATAACAACTTTTAAAACACTGGAATGCATTATTTTTTACAGATTTTGTATAATATGGATTTTTAAGATGTATTTTATTATTTTTTTGTTTGGTTTCAATAAGTAGTGCTTAGTAATTCTAGCAAATTATAAAGGATTATTGTGAGATAGCGGTTTGGATGCTCATGAAAGTCTCGATTTGGATTTTAAAATTTAGATTAGGGTTGTCAAACGTGTTGGAAATTGGATACTAATACTAATCGAAACTATTCACAAATTTTTCGCAGGTATCGATAGATTATAATTCTACAAAAACATTCTGAAATGTGTTGGATTCATCGTTTGAGTTCATATTTCAGTCTTCTGCGTTAACCCTCCTGCCGTTGTTTACATTGTACGCTCTGAACCAAATCCTCTTTTTATTGCAAGTCGCAGCTTTTCTATGACTTGATCTGTCTTTTTTTGGCATTTTGTTTTTCTAATTGTGTTTTTTCTTTTCTTCTCGTTCCAGCTTCACTTTAGACTCAGCAAAGATGGCAGACATGGACAAGTGAGTATTATTTAAAGCTCTTATATTACACAAAATACAGTGTACAGTGAGTTTTTAGCCATGTTACAATGCTGTTACCTCCTCAGAAACAGACCTGGAGGAGTTTTGTTTCATTCTCATGCTCTGTTGTGATGTCATGAAGTTACTTTTGACCTTTAGTTCAGTAGAGATTGGGCAATTCCAGGGCTGAAATTATCTAAATGATTCTAGTGAAGGAGTATTTTTCATCAAGGGCCACATTTCAAAACATGGACAACCAGAGGGCCATGAACTGGTGCTCAGTACACTGAATAATTGACATTTTTTTTTTAGATTAAAATGAGCTATCCTTTATTCAAACTTCCTCAAAAGCTTACCGTATTTTCTGCACTATAGGGTGCACTGGATTATAAGGCGCGCTGTCATTAAATGGTCTATTTTTGAATTTTTTTCATATATAAACGGCACCGGACTATAAGGTGTATTAAATGAAACACAACAGTTAGATAAGTCAGTCAAACTTTATTTAACGTGTTCACAATAACTCTCAACTTTGTTCAGTTGTAACGCATAAAAAAAAAAAAAGTACTGTCTGAGACCTAAATTGTTCGTGGATTCACAATAACTCAATTGTTCAGTTATAACTAAAAATAAAACATTACACTCACTTTTTCAGTCCTTTCCTCGTCCAGGTGGAATAATAAATGTGGCTACAAGTATTTTTCACTGCACAGTCACAATCTGCTCCATGTGTGTTTACATGTGCTGTAATTGGTGCGGCTTTGTAGTTTACAAAAGTCGTACTAAGACACCTGAATAAATTCATCTATGAGGTGCTCTGAAATTAAATTAAGTGCACCCTACAGTGCGGAAAATATGGTACACTAAATATTACCGTATTTTCCGGGCTATTAGACGTGCTCTTAAGCCTCTAACCCCATCAAAAAACAACTGCGTCCCACAATTCAGAGTGTCCCATACATGAATCCACTCGGGTGTCCCAGTACGACTTCAGTAAACTACAAAGCCGCACCACCCACAGAACACACAAACACACACGGAGCAGACAGCGACCGCAACACCCACCCCAACACCAACGCCCCCAGACACACTCATCAGTCCACGCCACCGAGGAACGGAACGAACTGAAAAAGCGAGTCCGATGTGCCAATCTGAGTCACAACTGAAACAACTGAGTCCCTGCGACGGATCCGTTGGTCCCAGACAGCACCCTCCCTACACGCCACAATTGAACAAAGCCCAGAGTCACCGTGAACGCCACAAACAAAGTCCGACTGACCCATCGAACTGTTGTGTTTCGTTTAAAGTTCGGTGCGGTTTATTTGTGAAAAAAGTTCAAAAATAGACCATTTAATGACAGTGCCACTTATAATCCAGAGCGACTAATAGCCCGGAAAATACGGTAAATGTTGGCTTTATCAAAGTAGATTTTCAAAAAAACAGTAAAAAGTACTGCTTAAGGTAATTTGAGCCAATTCACCTAGAGGCCTGAGGGCCAAGAAAAATTGGTCTGAGAGCTGCATTTGGCCCTCGTGCCACAATTTGGACAGGCCTGGTGTGTGGAGTTTAAAAACACAGTGGAGCACTTCCTTTATTACCACATGACATCACAAGGTGGAGCAGAGTCTTTTCCATTTGAGAATAACTCTGCCTAAAGCATAAAAATATTGAGGGTTTGTGTTGTGTAGGGGTGTGCAAAAAAATCAACATATCATATCGCTTAATGTGCTGATAGTGTCGATATTAGGGATGTAACAATAACCGAAATATCGTGATATCGTATTGTCAGGAGTCTCACAATAATATCGAATTATAAGTTCTTTTGCTTAAATGCGTTGTTCTTTAGTAGGAACAGCTTATAAACATCGGGAACTACATATCCCATGATTCATTTCAGCACAGACGACATGAAGAAATATGTTTTTTACTTGAATTCTTGAGATTATTACGGAAATAATTCGCACCAAAATCATGTCAAGGGATTTTAAAAGCAAAAAAGTGTCACATCTAGAATTATATTTGCCACTCCAAAATATCGCAATAAATATCGTACCGTGAGATGCATATCGTGATAATATTGTTACATTCCTAATCGATATTGTAGGCTGCTGTATCGATATATCGCCAAGAGTATTTTTTGGCGTATTTTACTAAATTATTTTGTTAACAGCTACAGTTTTGTTGCTTGTTTAGAGGAAAGAACTTTGCCCAAGTGGTTTAACAAAGACTTTTAGTATCACAGACATGATTTAGCCTTTATTTTTCATTGAACCGTATCGAATCGATTTGATGTATATATTGTTAAAGTGCACTGTATCGTATCTGCAGTTAATGATACCGAGCTCTTGGTTTGTGTGTTTGAAAATAAGCGAATAAAACAAAACACAAGCCCAGGTTTGTGATGAGGAAACGACATAAGACCAGAAAATCCCAGCTGTGGTTTGGATGTTAAACCGACCGAACTCTGAAACAGCTGCTCTGCTTATTTGTTGAACGATTGTTGTTAATACTGAGGTTTACAAAGAGGATTCTGTCCGAGGCCGTTTAAAGACCCAGCAGCTGAGCCGGGTCTGGACCAAAGTCATTTACACGACTGACGAGGAGAGTCCATGAAATAAAACTTAGAGTTTTGACTCTCCTGATGACGATATTTAGATAATATTTAGATAATATACAGGCAATATTCAGGCGATATTTAGATAATATTCAGGCGATATTTAGATAATATTCAGGCGATATTTAGATAATATTCAGGCGATATTTAGATAATATTCAGGCGATATTTAGATGATATTTAAATGATGTTCAGGCAATATTTTAACAATATTTATATCATATTCAGGCAATTTTTAGATGATATTTAGATCATATTCAGGCAATTTTTAGACAATATTTAGATGATATTTAGGCAATATTTAGATGATATTTAGGCGATATTTAGGTGATATTTAGGTGATATTTAGGCGATATTTAGGTGATATTTAGGCAATATTTAGGTGATATTTAGGCAATATTTAGATGATATTTAGGCAATATTTAGATGATATTTAGGCAATATTTAGATGATATTTACACAATATTTAGATAATATTTTGGCAATATTTAGACGATATTTGGATAATATTTAGATGATATTTAGATTATATTTAGATAATATTCAGGCGTTATTTGGATAATATTTAGATAATATTTGGACGATATTTAGATGATATTTATGCGATATTCAGGTGATATTTAGATTATATTTAGATAATATTCAGGCGATATTCTGGCAATATTTAGGTGATATTCAGGCAATTCATGCAAAATGTCCTCTACCGTTGATGTAAAGCGTGTACAGCACCTGCTCGTCTCCATGGAGATGTTATTGCTTTGGCTTTGAAATGTTTCAGAATATGGCGTTCAGTGTTGGTGAAATGATCTGATATTGATGTTATATGATTGATATTATTAGTCATAAGCTGCCAGGTTTGTTTTGACATGTGACCATCCACTTCTGATTGGTTAATTCACCTGTCAGTCAAGACTGGTTAGACAAGACCTACTGGGGGGGAAAAAAATCTTGTCTAACCAGGCTACAGGCTCAGAGATGCAGCCCAGTGTCCCGTCTGTCTCTGTTTCTGTCTCTCTGTCTGTTTTTGTTGCTTTCTCTTCGTTTCTGTCTCTCTGTCGCTGTCTCTCTTTCTGTCTTTCTGTCTCTCTCTCTGTCGTTATGTCTGTCTGTCTCTTCTCTCTCTCATCTGTCTTTCTATCTCTCTCTCCATCTCTCTCGTGGCCTGTCTATTTGTCTCTCTGTCTTTCTCTTTTTGTCTCTTTCTGTCTCTCTCTCTGTTGCTATGTCTCTCTGTCTGTCTCTGTCTCCCGCTGTCTCTTCTGTCTGTCTCTCATCTGTCTCTCATCTGTCTTTCTGTCTCTCTCTTTCTATCTCTGTCTCTCGATCTGTCTCTCTCTTTCTCGCTCTGTCTCTCCTCTCTGTCTTTCTGTCTCTCTCTCTGTCGCTGTGTCTGTCTCTTCTCTCTCTCTCGTCTGTCTTTCTGTCTCTCTCCATCTCTCTCTCTCGGTCTGTCTGTTTGTCTCTGTCTGTCTCATCTGTCTCTCTCTGTTGCTATGTCTCTATCTCTGTCTCCCGCTGTCTCTTCTCTCTCTCTCGTCTCTGTCTCTTCTGTCTCTCTGTCTCTCTCTTTCTATCTCTGTCTCTCGGTCGTCTCTGTCTCTCTCTTTCTCGCTCTGTCTCTCTGTCACTGTCTCTTCTGTCTTTGTCTCTCGTCTGTCTTTCTGTCTCTCTCTGTCGCTATGTCTCTGTCTCTTCTCTCTGTCTGTCTCTTGTCTCTCTTCTTTTCTGTCTCTCTCTGTCGCTATGTTTCTGTCTTTCTGTGTCTCTCTTTGTCGCTGTTTCTGTCTGTCTCTGTCTATATCTCTTCTCTCTCGGTCTGTCTGTCTCCCTCTCTGTCTCTCTCTTTCTGTCTCTCTTTCTCTGTCGCTATGTCACTCTGTCTCTGTCCCACTGTCTCTCTGTCTGTGTCTCTCACACACTGTCTCTGCCAGTCTGTCTTTCCCTCCCACTGTTTGTCTCTCTGTCTCTGTCTCTCGCTGTCTCTCTGTCTGTGTCTGTCTCTCTGTCCCACTGTCTCTGTCTTTCCCACTGTTTCTTTCTCTGTCTCTCTCTCTCTTCTCCCTCCCACTGTTTCTCTCTTTCTGCCTCTGTCTTTGTTTGTCTCCCTCCCTCCTTCTTTCTCTCTTTCCCTCCCTCCTTCTTTCTCCCCCTCTCTCTTTCTTTCTCTCTGTTGTTTTTGTGCTGCATTGATCGGGCCTGTAGCTGGAGTCCAGTTTCAGAGGATCAGCAGAGCTTCAGGACACCGTGATCTGAGCTCCAAAGGCAGAGCTCCAGGCACAAGACTCGGGAGGCACGAAAACTGATGAGATCATGAAGATTAAAATTTAAAGTTACGACTAAAACACTACAACTTTTGCTTTTAGGGCATTTTAACGAGCATCAAGAGTCAGTGCTTTCTAATAGTCTGAGTTTTAGAAGTTTGACTTTTTTTCTTTCTAAATGGCAATGATTTAAAACTTTGGCTTTAAATTATTTTCTAAATAATAAAAAAATGCACTTTGTTTTTAAGGTTTATATACATTTTTTGATTGTATTTTGAGATTTCTTAAGTGTATAATGGTTGAAATGTTTTTTTGTGGATAAAATTAAGTCAACTAGTCATATTTAATGTTGTTCTGATATCATTTTGGGGAGATTCGATGCCGATACTTGTCCTTAGTGTACTCACCGATACCGATACTGCATAGTGGGAAGAAGTAGACTAAGGCTAATCGATTTTGTTACACCATAAGAGCAAAAAATAACAACTAAAAGGCTTTTTGCATTTACGGGTCGTCATTCAAGAAAATAAAACGTGGTATTGGCGTGGCGATTTGGTCAGAGGACTCGCCGATACCTGAAAAAATGTGCAGTATCGGAGCTTTTGCCGATATCGGAACAGCCCTAGTCACAATGGAATAACTTGTTGTGTAAACTTGTCCCTCTGGTCTTACCGTATTTGTTTTTTTTTTTCTGCAGCAAAGAGCAGGCCGAGATGGACCCTGCAGATATGGAAGACGTGGAAGAAGTGGAGGAAGAAGAGACCGGAGAAGACGTCAACAGCAAAGGTAAGAATCCACCGGGACACGCAGGAGACGGGCTAACCACTCTGCCGCAGAAACACCCGGAGGACACGCAGTCGGTTTACTGTTTAAACTAGAAACTCAACTCGAGCTCCTTGACATTCATCTTCCAAAAATATGTCAATAAGTTTCAAAAAAATCTAACTGTAAATGGAAAAGTCATGGAATTTTAGCATCCTTTTCAGCTTTCTGTTAAGTTCTCATGAGGCTATTATGATTATTTCCGAACGTCTGCACCTTTTTGTTTTAAGAGACGACAATAAATGCACTGACGGTAACAATAATCGAAATATCGTGATATCGTATCGTCAAAGTTCTCACAATAATATCGTGGACCATCACAAATATATCGAATTACAAGTGTCTTTGCTTAAATGAAGAGTTATGGTTCAGCAACAGTTTAAAAAAAAGAGGGAACTACATAGACCATGATCCTTTGCTCCATTTCAGTGCACACGACAAGAAGAAATAACAGTTCTAACACTTTTAAGTCTTAGTTCTTTGGATTATGTCTTGTCAAGGCATTTTAAGAGCAAAAAGTAATATTTTTACGGTTTTAGCTGTTTAGCCTCCACAAAATATCACAATAAATATCATACCCTGAGATGTATATCGTGAAAATATCGTACAGAGACATTTGGATATTGTTACGTCCCTAATCGTGAGCCTTCCCACCATTTTGTGAACTTTCCCACAATATTGCAATAAATATCGTACTGTGAGGTTCATACTGTGACGATATCGTATCGTGAGACTTTGATATCGCTACACCCCTAATACCAAACCATAAGGAGAGTGGAAAGTGTTAACATTTCATTAGTTCATTCACATGTCGGTGCTGCGTTTTGAGCTTTGGAGATGTAGACTAATAATAAATTATTACCGTATTTTCTGGGCTGTTAGTCGCTCTGGATTATAAGACGCACTGTCATTAAATGGTCTATTTTCAAACTTTTTTCACAAATAAACCGCGTGGGACTTTAAAGGAAACACAACAGTGTGATGGGTGAGTGGTTTTGTTTGTTTGTTCGTTCACGGTGACTCTGGGCTTTGTTCAGTTGTGGCGTGTAGGGAGGGTGCTGTCTGGGACCAACGGATTGTCGGCGTGTTCGCAGTGACTCAGTTGTTCAGTCGTGTCGTGTCTAGAAGTGGCACATTGCACTCGCTTTTTCGGTTCGTTCCTCGTTCCGTTCCGTTCCTCGTCGGCGTGGAGTGATGAGTGTGTCTGTGGGTGTTTGTCGCTGTGCGGTCACTGTCTGGTGTGTGTTTGTGTGTTCTGCGGGTGGTGCGGCTTTGTAGTTTACTGAAGTCGTACTGGGACGCCCGAGTGGATTCGTTTGTGGGCGCGGTCGTTTTTTGATGGGGTTACAGGGTTATGAGCGCATCTAATAACCGGGAAAATACGGTACAAACGTGGAATGAAAGAAAACACAACTCTGGGTTTTTTTTTTTTTTTTTTTTTTTTTTTTTGAGGAGGTAAAATGACTAAAAACTCAAAACAGCCAATTTTGTGTAACATAGGATCCAAGTTTTTATTTTTTGTTGAGTAATTTTAGCAGACTAACTCATCTTGCATCATTTAAAAAAAAAAAAAAAAGATTGGATCCGAAATGCTCATAAATCTTGTTTGAATTTTAGATTTGGTATGGATATTATATAAAAATTACATTCGTAGATGAGAATGTGCATTAAAGCCACAAATATGTAACTTTTTGGCTTAAAGGTTGTATAGAGGATTTTCCAAGGAACGAGAAATCCAGCGACTGTTTGTCCTTTTTCAAATGTTGCGCATGTGTGAAACCACCCCCCTCCCCTACAGCTCCTACGTAGAAACGCCTCCTCCCTCCTCCTCCTTACGCCAGAAACAGGTTTGTTTACAGCCGGTGCTGCACACATGACTTGTAAACAACTAACTACAGTGTTGGTTAGACAAGACGGAGAAGTGAGGAGCGGGGGAGGGGTGTGCAGACATTTCGTGCGCGGAGGAGCAGGGAGAGGAGAGGGAGAGAGAGGAGAGGGGAGCGGTGCGCGGAGATTCCGTGCCCGGAGAAGTGAGGAGCAGGGGGAAGAGTGGATCGGGCAGCGGGGACAGGAGCAGGAAAGGGGTGCAGAGAAGGTTGCGTGGAGATTCCGTGCGAATGAACTAGCTACAACACGCAGCAGCAAGCGGACTCTTTCTTTGCCTTGAAAATTACGTTTTCAGACATAGGATATCGCTTTCGTGTCCTGAAAAACGTTTGTCTAACTCTTGGAAATAAAGTACGTTTTCATAATAAGCAGAAGTTTCCTGTCCAGGAGTAATTTGTGGACCAGTGCGTCAGTCTTTAGACCCTTCGTCTGCTTCAGTCGCGCCATCGCTGGAATGAATCTATAAGAATCACCTTAGTTTGGCTTCGCTGCTTTTCCCCTTGTCTTCTTCTTTCAGCGACCTCAAAAACGGACTTTCTTTTGCGGCGAACTGCTCCTGGATTCTTGTCGCCATTGCAACAAACTTTGTGCGAACTGCGAGGAAGATATAGGTCAAAAAAAGCCGCTAAGAACTGTTGCGTTGGTGGAGTAAACAGCGTCTGTGCGTCTTGCGTCTGTGGACTGCGTGACAGTCGTACGTAAACCACGTACCGGCGGCGCAGGCAAGTCAGTTACACTAGAAACGTAGGGAGTTTGATTGACAGCCTGTCAGCTCACAGATAACGAGGCAGTGTCGTTATCTATTGGCAAATGTTTAGTCCCACCACGTCCAGAGTTGATGAATTTTTATTCTCTTTTTTTTGGTCATCATAATTACAAGGCTACTGCATCTTTATAATCTATCACTGACAATTTGAAACAAAACAAAATCCTCCATACAACCTTTAACAATTTATTTTTTCTTTCCCTTTTTTCATTTTGGTTGTTTATTGCACTGAAAAACCTGCGTCCTTCTGCTCGTTTCCATGGAAATGTTCCTTTTGGCTATTTTTCACACTATAGTATAAAAAACATCTCGCTTGTTTCTATGGATACGTCGTCGCTCTGCCTGGAATGTTCCACAGCGTGACATTAAACGGCTCTACTTTACATTTATTCAATCGCAGGTGGTTTTACAGCTCAAAAACGCCTGCCTCTCCGCAGATCTGCCCTGTAACTTGGTCTGGTTTGGTCTCCATGACGACAGAAAGGTTTAATGCCACACTGTGGGACATTCAGACAAAGAAATGACATGTCCACGGCGAAAAGCGTTTGACGGAGCCTCCACCAGAAAAGTTACACGATGCAGCTTTTTAAAAATTGTTTCGATAAATTGTACAGGTGACGTGCGACAGCCAGAAGGTTCCGTACTGTGTCTTTATGTTTGCCTCTCACTTTTGTATTGTGATAAATGGCAAATATGCAAAAGAATAGATTTTTTTCAGTTAAAAGTAAAAAAAAAAAACGATTGAAAATTTGGTGTGATTTTTTGCGTCGTTTCTGGTCCGTGTTGTGGCCCAGATTGCGTTCGTCTTAAGGGTGTTGACAGCGGCTTCGGTCGGTGTATTCCAGAGGATTGTTCGGGGTCTGGATGGATACAGCCCGGCCTATTTTTAGCAGGTTTTTGATTAGCCTTTTAAACATGAGCGCTGCGTCTGCCTCTGCGCCAAGAACACCGAGGAGAGGCTGGAGCCGGGTCAGAAATGTAAAACTGACGACGTTTATACAAAGGAGAGAGAGAGCTACGGCCTCTTCAGATCAGACTTTAAAGGAACACTGTGTAACTTTCATGGGGTTTTCTGCTTGATTCTGTGATGATGTTATTGCTTTGGCTGGAATTAAACACGTCGACCTTGTAGTCATTCAGTTAAAGTTGTTTTTTATTGCTCAAAAATGCATTTTTCTGACAATAAATCGCTCCGAAGAATAAGTCGCACCAGCCAAAAATGCGTAATGAAGAAAAAAACGTAAGTCGCACTTTTTGGGGGGAATTTATTTGATCAAATCAGAGACCAGGAACCGATATTTCATCTTAAAAGTCAAGTTGTAGTAAAAACAATAGAAGAGAGAACAACAGACTGTTAACGTCACATATGAAATTGTGTGATGATTGGGTGAATATTTTAGGCCGCAGATGGTTCCGAAATTGCCGATCCTTTATAATGGCGTGACCTTGGATCATCACCAACCTTTTTTTTGCGGTATTGGGCACGGGGGCTTGACCCATGTACCAAATTTGGTGACAATCGGTCCATAAATGGCGGAATTGTCCCACAGAGTCCCACAGAGTCCCACAGAGTCCCACAGAGTCCCACAGAGTCCCACAGAGTCCCACAGAGTCCCACAGAGTCCCACAGAGTCCCACAGAGTCCCACAGAGTCCCACAGAGTCCCACAGAGTCCCACAGAGTCCCACAGAGTCCCACAGAGTCCCACAGAGTCCCACAGAGTCCCACAGAGTCCCACAGAGTCCCACAGAGTCCCACAGAGTCCCACAGAGTCCCGTTCCCACAGAGTCCGTCACTGAAGTCCAGGCTTTGTCCATCCATCCAGTGACTTCAGGAAAGTTTCATGGTGCATCCTCCCGGTTCCCGTGAAGCTGTGTTCTCCATCCCCGCTTTCTGTCAGTCCCTCACTCCAAACTTTCTTTCTGCTGCTTGATTACAGTTTTCATCCGAATATTTCACAACTTGCAGCAGGACAGAGGCTCTTTCTGCAGGAGACATGCGCAGAAAACTGACACGCAAGACTAGAGCCTCTCGTGGCTGTCAGAGTGAAAATTTTAATTTACCGTATTTTCCGGGCTGTTAGTCGCTCTGGATTATAAGACGCACTGTCATTAAATGGTCTATTTTCGATCTTTTTTCACAAATAGCGTGGGACTTTAAAGGAAACCCAACAGTGTGATGGGTGAGTGGTTTTGTTTGTTTGTTCGTTCACGGTGACTCTGGGCTTTGTTCAGTTGTGGCGTGTAGGGAGGGTGTGTCTGGGACACGCTGGATTGTCGGCGTGTTCGCAGTGACTCAGTTGTTCAGTCGTGTCTAGAAGCGGCACATTGCGCTCGCTTTTTCGGTTCGTTCCTCCGTTCCTCCTCGGCGTGGAGTGATGAGTGTGACTGTGGGTGTTTGTCGCTGTGCGGTCGCTGTCTGCTCCGTGTGTGTTTGCGGCTTTGTAGTTTACTGAAGTCGTGCTGGGACGCCCGAGTGGATTCGTGTATGGGGTTTGCGGTCGTTTTTTGATGCGGTTAGAGGCTTAAGAGCGCGTCTAATGGCCCGGAAAGTACGGTATAAGCCGCCAAACCATGAAAAGTGCAACTTAAAGTCTGAAAAATACTGTACATGCGTTCTTTGTGTGGCCAGCTTTCCATAGTTCTGACCTCCTAACTTGTTTTTATGGAAATAGACAAGTCCATACCATATTGTGGCAAAGTGACGACATCTCAATGAGTCAAGAACTAAGCGGACCCTCCACCAGAAAAGTTACACACTGCACTTTTAAACGACACAAGTCCAGATGCTGCTCAAAAGACTTAACTCTGCTTAATTTCAAGAAAAAGAATAATTGGATAAAATGAATATACAGTTCTCAGTGCACAGTACAGCGCCACCTTTTTAGAAGATTAATCGACGCATGGGGCATGAGTCGCCCAAGAATCAGATCAGTTGGTGGGTTTCAGGTCTCGTCACAATGTTCTATGGGCCAATATTTAAAACTCATGAGGGGTAGATGCATGAATATTGTGGTTCAGCTTTTATTTATTCAGCTTTTGGAGATTTAATGGAAAAGTACAATGTGATCAATAGAAAATTCTGTCTTGCCCTCGATCTGGGAGAATGACATCGTTACTTTCTCGAGCCGAGCACAGTTGAGGATTTGTTTTCTCTGTCCTGTGTTCTTGTGTATGACGTGTCCGGTTCTGTCCTGTACGTCTGACCTTTGTTTATCTGCGTGTTTTTCAGTCAGTCGTTTGACGGTCCAGATGATGCAGAACCCACAGATCTTGGCCGCGCTGCAGGAGAGACTCGACGGGCTCAACGGCTCCCCCTCAGGATACATCGAGAGGTGAGCGACTAACGGATGGACAAACATCGAGAGAGAAGGGAAGGTTTTATTATACTGTGACCAAACGAAGTGATAAAATTGTACTAGTAACTCAAATATTTCAGTGTAGACGTTAAAAGTTCTGTCACATTCACTGTTTTAAATTAAACAGATTTATATAGAGCCCAAAACACAAACACTGTACAGAGGATTATTCATTCACTCGGTGGGGTCAGGTGCTATTGTAGCCGCAGCTGCCCTGGGACAGACTGACTGAAGCGAGGCTGCCAAACTGCCCACTGTGGCACCAACTTTATTTGTATAGCACATTTTACAAACAAAACAGTTTCCAAAGTGCTTCACATAGCAATGCAAAACATTTTACTTAATTCAGATTTTTTTATTATATTTATTTATTTTTTTTATGTTTAATAAAGACACTAATAGAATAAATAAAATAATAATAAAATCAATGAACAAAATAATAAAATCGATACATTAAAACGGTACTAAAAAAATAAAAAAGATAAAATTAAATAAATAAATAAATGAAATAAAAGACACAGAGGAGCACATAACTCACGCTGTATTAAAAGCCAGAGAATAAAAGTGGGTCTTAAGACGAGACTTAAAAAACTCTCCACTGTGGGGTTTTCCCGGTGGTACTAAACAGACCCGGACCTGTTGAGTCTGAGCTCTGACTAGATCAGGCTTTGACTTTCTCAACCAGCTTCATGAAATCAAACTTTATGTGATAAAGCACTAGACCTTAAAACATTTTGTAGTGCAACTGTAGCTCCCAATCTGTAGAAAGGAAAATGGCTTGATTTTTGACCATAAAACATTTGGCTAAACGGTTCCTCCTCATTGAACTAGGAACAACAGAGTCGGCCTGGACGATTAATTGACCAAGAATTTATTGCGATAAACAATAATATTGACATTTTGAGACCAATTTCAACTAATATAATGACAATGGAATAAAAATTTAAACACACCCTTTCAAAGATCAATGAACCTTGCTTTCTAAAGAACGTTTAACACAGGAAGTGTAAGACAACCAAAAATAACAGGCCTAAATAAAACAGACTTGTTAACACAGGACCAGCCTCATGTGTGGTTTACAGCGAGGACTTGTTCACAAAAATACACTTGAATAAACCACTGTTGAATCTAATACAACCAAAGCAATAAATAAAATGGATTATTAAGTTTATGTAACAAAATTGCCCTTAAAAGTGATTTTAGTCATTCAGATTCAGAAAACTTTATTAATTCCATAAGGCAATTCATTAGCAGCATCTCAGAGCAAAACGAACACAAAGTGTGTCAGTCCACTGCCGTCCACCAGTGGAACTCAAAATAAAGTACAAATTACAGTGTAAAACTTTCATAAAACTGTACCCTTAGAATTTAACAATTTAATAGCACAGGGCACAAAAGAATTAGAGAACCGGTTGGTTTTCCGTATCAGGAGCATAAAACCGACGCCCTGAAGACATGAGGATAAAATCAGGAGCCAGAGGATGAAGCGGCTGAGCCACGAGACACTTGGCTTTGCTCAGCACCTGCTCCTCCCACAAAGTGCAGCTCCCTCAGTTTGACCCCTGTGATTTTCAAGCAGGTTTTAACAATGTTCTGAAGTTTGTTTTTATCCTTATTGTCTTACATTGGAATATTGTGTCTCATCTCTGTGGCTGCTGCTGTGGCCTTGGCATTTTGGCCTTGAAGTTTTCTTATTAACTCGCGACACAGGATGTTATTTCACTATAAGAGAGCCGCTGTCTGTATCGTGTTGGTTTCTTGTGGGATTTCGGGTTCTCTCGGGGGCGGGGTTAGTTCTGTCGCTCGGGTTTGGGTTTATATCGGCAGTTGGGGTTTGAGACATTTCTTCTCGTTATTTGCTCGCTGTATTTGACACACGTGGCTGTTGAGTCGTGTCCCGCTCACCAGTGTTGATTTGACATCGTGGCTTGTTTTGTCGCACGGAGATGAACAGTTTTGTCACTCTGAAAACGGCGCTTGTGTTGCATAAACCTTCTGCACTCAGACTACACGCGCATCCGCCGTGTCGATAAACACAGCGCACGTTGGTTCAAGCGTCATTACACTTGATAAATGAGAGGAATCAGAGCGACAGAAGCTTCTAACATTCAGTTTCTGTTTTCCTCGTTCTCTCTCGCTCTCAAACAAGCTGCAAATAGAATTTACTGTGACCGGAAAGGTTATCGAGCTCGTTAAGTTGTCGTACAATTAATTGATTTATTGATTATCGTTACAGGCCTACAACAGAGCTTTAAGAATTTTCAATGAAACCTGCTTTTAGGCTAATTCGTGTTTCATATTTTGAAGGTTCAGGTGAATTAAATGTTGATTTACTGATTGACCAGTGTCTCTCCTGTTTCTTTTATGCAGTTTACCGAAGGTGGTGAAGCGCCGTATCAACGCTCTGAAGAACCTGCAGGTGAAGTGCGCTCACATCGAGGCAAAGTTTTATGAAGAAGTCCACGAGCTCGAGAGAAAATATGCCGCCCTCTACCAGCCGCTCTTCGACAAGGTGTGATTTTTCAATATTCTAGTCGTCTTCACAACTTTACCCTGCATGAAAATAATCCTAACCCAGAGAACGAGAGCAACTAGAGCAGTACATGGGTCCAGTCAAGTGGTAACGGAGGGAAACGGGCAGATTTTTTACATTCAAATGTCTCTTATTCAGAAACTAGAGGAACTATTGAAATAAGTAAAGTATCAGAAAGTAGGAAAGAGTTACACTCCAACAGGGTCAAGTTAAACCTGTGATATTCTTTCAAGTTGTTGACAAAAAAATTTTAAAACTCATGTCGATAACGGAGGGAATGAAATATGCAGCACTTTTTGGTCAATAAATCCAAACAGTGAAAACTCTTGGTTCTCACTTACATATCCTTAACAAACTGGTTTGAATATTTGCTTCATATAGTTTTCTACCATATGGTACAAGATTAGGTTGAAAAACCTCTTACTTTTTGAGTCATGAGATTTTTTATTAAGAAAGGTCATGGTAACAGGAGGGAAAAGTAACGGAGGGAAAATTGTACAAGCAAGTAGAAGGTGCATGATTTTACATAATTTGTCAACTTTTTTTCTTCCGAATACTTTTTTTTGTTTTTTGTTTTTTTTTAATAATAAATTAATTTATAATTTGTCAAATTTGAAGGATTGGATACCCAGCACATCCACAATAAAACAGACTTAACTAAACATGCATACAAAAAAAATATATATATATAAAAATAAAATAAAAATAATAATTAATAATAATAATAATAATAATAATCTTACGAATACTTTAATATTACTTTAAAATGAAAGGAAACTATTTCTATGAAATATGTCAGTCCTTCCAAGCTAATTTTTTATAATTTTAAAATACTTTTTTTTTTTTTTTTAAATCCTGTCCCTTCATCAACAGTTCAAAGATGGAATAACACAAGATATGATGAAATACATCCATTTATTTACATGATTTTCAGGTCTTTGAAATTTGGGAAATAATTTTTGTTCCATGTTTCATACATGGTCTGTTTAAAACGTATGGAACTTTAGAACCAAAAATGGTACAGAAAAAAGGTCAACAGTTTCATAAACTAGAGTACATATGTATCTGTTCAATACAGTTTTATATCAGATGCATTAACTTGAATTTTTGGCCTTGTTGTTTACTTCTGCTTGACCCGGGCCCATATATAAAAATAAAAATACAAATCTGATATCTTTGAGTTATTTTGCTGTGATCTTCAGCTGTCACTCTTATCCCTGCAAATGATGGACTTAAAATCTTAATCCTTCAGCATCAAGTGACTCGTATAAATATTGTTTGTAAACCTGGTTGTGCAGCGTCTGTTTCTCCCACTCATATTTAGCGTGTGCGTATGAAGAATCTGACTTCCTGATCTCTATAAATTGAATCATGACTCATTGGCGTGACCCGCTCCGGCTTCTGCAGCGTCTGTCACTAACATGCGCCCGACGCCATCTTTGTTTGGGTGTAAACAAAACCTCCAGGCCTCTGAGGTGTTCTGCATTTTCAAAGCCTCAGATCAGGAGCTACTGAGAGTTTACAGCTCATGTCGTCAGTGTTTCCCCGTGGGTGTGGAGCTAACAGAAAGCACTACACTGTCTGAAGATCTGATACTTAAATTAGACTTTAATCTGAGTGTGTTAAAATAAAATAAAAAAAAATCTGACCAGAAAGAATTACAACAGGTGAGATTATTTGTGCTGTTAAACAAATCTCTCGCACATAAAATTAGTTTTTCAGTTTGTCACTCTCCTTTTGTTGAAAATCTAATTCCAAAACTGGACCATGAACACTCGATTTGACCACAGTCTCTGGAAAATGTGTTGGTTAAGTTTATTTTGTAGTTTTTAATCTAGTTTTCAGACTATATTAAAAAAATTTTGGCAGATTTTGGTAATGTGAGCATTGTTTCCATGGTAACTGTTGAACATCCCGCCGAGACTGATCGATAGAAAAATACTTTGTTTATCCCAAAGGAAATTCATATTTTCGGCAGGAATGAAACGTAATGATAATGACGAGGATGCATAAAAAATAATTTTAAAAAAGTATAATAAAAGTATTAAACATAATAGAAAAAATAAATACAAATAATACAAAATGAAATAAAAATAAAATGATAATAATGCAACTGCAGCTGCTACTGCAACTACTACTACTACTGCAACTACTACTACTACTACTACTACTGCTACTGCTACTGCTACTACTGCTACTGCTACTGCTACTACTACTGCTACTACTACTACTGCTACTACTGCTACTGCTAACTGCTACTACTACTACTTACTGCTACTGCTACTACTACTGCTACTGCAACTACTACTACTACTACTGCTACTGCAACTACTACTATTACTGCTACTGCAACTACTACTACTACTGCTACTGCTAACTACTACTACTAACTACTACTACTTACTACTACTACTGCTAACTACTACTACTACTGCAACTACTACTACTACTACTGCAACTACTACTACTACTGCTACTACTGCAACTACTACTATTACTGCAACTACTACTATTACTGCTACTGCTACTGCAACTACTACTATTACTGCTACTGCAACTACTACTATTACTGCTACTGCTACTGCAACTACTACTACTACTACTACTACTGCTACTGCAACTACTACTACTACTGCAACTACTACTACTACTGCAACTTACTACTACTGCAACTACTACTACTGCTACTGCAACTACTACTACTACTGCAACTACTACTACTGCTAACTACTACTACTACTGCTACTGCAACTACTACTACTGCTACTGCAACTACTACTATTACTACTACTGCAACTACTACTACTACTACTACTGCTACTACTACTACTGCTACTACTGCAACTACTACTACTACTGCAACTACTGCTACTAACTACTACTGCAACTACTACTACTACTGCAACTACTACTACTACTGCAACTACTAACTACTACTACTACTACTTACTGCTACTGCAACTACTACTACTTACTGCTACTACTGCAACTACTACTACTTACTGCTACTGCAACTACTACTATTACTGCTACTGCAACTACTACTACTTACTGCTACTGCAACTACTACTATTACTGCTACTGCAACTACTACTACTACTGCAACTACTACTACTGCTACTGCTACTGCTACTGCAAGTACTACTGCTACTACTGCAACTGCAACTGCTACTGCAACTGCTACTACTGCTACTGCTACTGCAACTACTACTGCTACTGCAACTACTACTACTACTACTACTGCAACTACTACTATTACTGCAACTACTGCACTACTACTACTGCAACTACTACTATTACTGCAACTACTACTATTACTGCTACTGCAACTACTACTATTACTGCAACTACTACTATACTGCACTACTGCTACTGCTACTACTGCTACAACTACTACTACTACTACTGCAAACTACTACTACTACTACTGCTACTGCTACTACTACTACTGCTACTACTACTACTAACTGCTACTACTACTGCTACTGCAACTACCTACTGCTACTGCACTACTACTATTACTGCAACTACTACTATTACTGCAACTACTACTGCACTACTACTACTGCAACTACTACTACTACTACTGCAACTACTACTACTACTGCAACTACTACTACTGCTACTACTGCACTACTACTACTACTACTGCTACTACTACTACTACTGCAACTACTACTACTACTACTGCAACTACTACTACTACTACTACTGCTACTGCAACTACTACTACTACTGCAACTACTACTATTACTGCTACTGCAACTACTACTATTACTGCTACTGCTACTACTACTATTACTGCTACTGCTACTGCAACTACTACTGCTACTACTATACTGCTACTGCTACTGCAACTACTACTACTACTGCTACTGCAACTACTACTACTGCTACTGCTACTGCTACTGCAAACTACTACTACTTACTACTGCTACTGCTACTACTACTGCACTACTGCTACTACTACTACTACTACTACTACTGCTACTACTACTACTACTACTGCTACTGCTACTGCTACTACTACTGCTACTGCAACTGCAACTGCTACTACTGCTACTGCTACTGCAACTACTACTGCTACTGCTACTGCTACTGCAACTACTACTACTTACTGCAACTACTACTATTACTGCAACTACTACTATTACTGCAACTACTACTATTACTGCAACTACTACTATTACTGCAACTACTACTATTACTGCTACTGCAACTACTACTACTACTGCTACTGCAACTACTACTATTACTACTACTACTACTACTACTGCTACTGCAACTACTACTACTGCTACTGCTACTGCTACTGCTACTGCTACTGCTACTGCTACTACTGCTACTACTACTACTACTACTGCTACTGCTACTGCAACTACTACTACTACTGCTACTGCTACTGCAACTACTACTACTACTGCTACTGCAACTACTACTACTGCTACTGCAACTACTACTACTACTGCTACTGCAACTACTACTGCTACTACTGCTACTGCAACTGCTACTGCTACTACTGCTACTGCAAGTACTGCTACTACTGCTGCTACTACTACTACTACAAGTACTATTACTGCAACTACTGCAAGTACTATTACTACTACTACTGCAAGTACTATTACTACTACTACTGCAAGTACTATTACTACTACTACTGCAAGTACTATTACTACTACTACTACTGCAAGTACTATTACTACTACTACTACTACTACTAGCTACTAACTACTATTACTACTACTACTACTGCAAGTACTATTACTACTACTACTACTGCAAGTACTATTACTACTACTACTACTGCAAGTACTATTACTACTACTACTACTGCAAGTACTATTACTACTACTACTACTGCAAGTACTATTACTACTACTAGTACTGCAAGTACTAGTACTACTACTAGTACTGCAAGTACTAGTACTACTACTAGTACTGCAAGTACTAGTACTACTAGTACTGCAAGTACTATTACTACTACTAGTACTGCAAGTACTAGTACTACTACTAGTACTGCAAGTACTAGTACTACTACTACTAGTACTGCAAGTACTACTACTAGTACTACTAGTACTACTACTAGTACTACTGCTACTGCAATTCATCATTTGATTATTTATATGATGCACGTATCAAGCCTGAGGTGGAACCAGTTTTTCACGTGAGACATTTCCAGACATTTTGCCACTGAAAACTGTTGAATCAGAAGTTCTGCATAAAACCTACAGTGGGACAATTCCGGGTCTTTGTGAAAAAGGTCTGTTAAAACGATCCCATTTCAAGGGAGACTACAAATTTGATCTGTCATGTAAACTATAGTAGAGAAGCAACGCTATTCAGAGAGAATTATTGTATTTTTGAGCAATAGAAACTCACTAGATAGATGCGTTTAATGTCATACCATGGAACATTCTAGGCAAAGGAATAACATCTCCATGGAGACGAGCAGGTGACGGACCCTCCACCAGAAAAATTGTGCAAAACACCTTTTAAATAACAAATATAATCACTCATCCGCGCTTACTTCTTCATGACAAAATATAAAAATGTATCATAATTTTTGAACCTGTCCTCGTTTCCAGCGCTGCGCCTCGTCCCACGCGGTTCAGCAGCCATATTTGTTTGTATAAAAACACCGAAACGCTGGTACGGCTCACACCTCTGCCTGGGTCTGATCGTGTTTGTGTGTGTGTTTATCCGTTCACAGAGGAGCGAGATCGTCAAAGCTGCCTACGAGCCCACAGACGAAGAGTGCGAGTGGAAAGCTGACGATGAGGAAGAGCTCACAGTAAGTAAACAGGTACAGCAAACATTCACTCGACTACAGCGATATTAACGGCGAGTGTGTTTACGTGCGCCTCAGTCTCCTGGTTATGATCGGGTTTTTTTGAGTATCCTGGTTTTGTTGGTGTCCGTGTAGACGCAGTATCCTGGTGTCGGTCTCCTGGATATGCCAGTATCCCGGTGATGTGGAACCAGGAGATGCTCGCTGGGTTTTTCTGATAGTCTCCAGGAAACTGCGGCCTGTAAACGAACTGTTCTGATTTCTCAAAACTGGAGCTGTACTGAGCGTGTGCGAACTCGAGTAACAGATGTGGTCGGAGCAGTGACTTTACCAAAAGGACTCAAACTTCTAACAGGGATTTTTTTTTAAGGGCCTGTTTACATGAGAACGCATGCGGGTAAAAATGACAAAATATTTTATCTGAAGTGCCTTTTGTTTAGACCAGGCATGTCCAAACCAAATGCGGCCCTCAGACAATTTTTTTTCTTGGCCCTCAGACTTCCAGGCCCAAATTACCTTGAGTTTTTTTTTTTTTTAATCATTTTGGGCGTGAATCGATTAATCATAACCAAATGTATGTTGCTGTGTGTATCGTGACCAAACAGGTGTGTACATGTGTCTCTGCATCAGAAGGAGCGAGACACAAACAGTGGGTCAGTCTGTAACGAACCGAAGCACAAATGTGGATTTAACGATGATTTGTACAAGAAATTCCACACTTTCCGTTGCGTTCGGGACAAGTGTGAGTCCATGTGCACAGTGTATAAAGCAGCACATATGTTTCTGTGTCCAGTGGGAAAAAGTTTTTCCAGGTGAGAGTCGCTCAATGTGGATGACGAGGCCCCTCCCCCCGTACGCTGTCCTGGTTTTGACAAACGCAAATCTGGTCACACTAACCTGTATTCACCTGAGTCATGTCTTTTAATCTGAACAGATATTGAACCGCATCAGCGACACAAGAGAGCTGTAGTTTTATCTTCACTTAGTTTATGCAAATTAGTGATGCGGTTTTAAGTTTTGTTTCTGTGAGATTTGAACAAAACTGAATTAAACACATTATAATGTCAAACGGGCTGATGTGGCTCTAGAGTCGTTACAGTTTATATGTCGTAAAGTTGAATTTATTTATGCAGATTAGTAGTGCAGATAGTAATAATAATGATGATCATTTTAATATAAAAACGTTAATGATTAATCGATAATCGCTCGTTAATTCTTCTGAGATTCTAAAGTGTTAAATATGTACGCATTTCAATTATTCCCTTTACTGAGCATCAGTCTACATCCCTCGATCGGCCCTCGATCGGCCCTCTGCTTCGTCTGTGTTTAGAAATGTGGCCCTTAATAAAACAAAAAGTTTGGACACCCCCTGATTTAGACGGTGACGGCGTTTTTGGGGCTTAAAAGCGTAATAATCTGAAACCACCCTCGAGTGGAAAAGTTGAATACTCTCCACCGTAGTGTTTCCGTCTACACTGCCCAAGACGCAAAACTCTGGTCAGATCTGCTCAGGTCGCGTACGTGTTTACGTCACATACATACAGGACACAGAAACAAACATGTCGGATCATTTCCATGCATCCAACCTTCAGGCTGCTCTGGCAGCTCTAATAAACTTACAGGAGGCGTCCCAACAAATGTGGAGAATCTGCAGAGATACTATTAGTGAACAGAGGAGGATCTGCAATCACCTCTGTCAAATTCTGGACGCACCAGGTCGTCGCAGTCGAGTCAGACGGATCTGGACGAGACCTGGAGAACCAGTCGATGGTGTAACAACTCTGTGGCAAGGAGTAGCTGATGAAAAAACTTCTGTATGTCTAAAGACGCCCTTGTTGCTTTAAACATACACAGTTGAATTCCACACACTTTTGCGTCACCGTCTGCACGCAGATTTACTCCCGAAAACACTCGTCTAAACACAGAATAAAAAGTGAAGACGCGACACCACTTTTGCGTCTTCTGTTCAGACCCTCATCATGTAAACGTAGCCTTAGTAATAATAATGTGTACTTATAAACAAAATAAAGCAGTCTAATGTTTAATACAGACACATTTTAATGCCCAGGTTCAGCTCTGTGGTGATTTGTGCTTTTTTTATTTATTTATTTTTTTAACTAAACTGACACTGTCGTATTTCTCAACTGTTAAAAACAACTTTTACTGAATCTGACAGCTCCACAGTCTCATAGGGATGTAACAATAACCAAAATATCGTGATAACGTATCATCAAAGTTCTCACAATAATATCATGGACCATCACAATATATCGAATTACAAGTCGCTTTGTTTTTAAATGAAGAGTTGTGGTGCAGCAATATCTAAAAAAAAAAAAAAAAAGATGAGGAACTACATAGAACTGTTATTTCTTCTTGTAGTCTGCAATGAAATGGAGCAAAGGATCATGGTCTAACACTTAAGTCTTTAGTTCTTTGGATTAAGTCTTGTCAAGGGGTTTTAAGAGATAAAAGCAGCATATTATGTTTTTTTTTTTTTAGCCTCCACAAAACATTGCAAAAAATATCGTACCGATGTATATAGCAAAAACATTGTACAGAGAGATTTGTATATTGTTACATCCCTAATCAGTGAGCTTTCCCACGATATCACAATAAATATCGTACCGTGAGGTTCATACGTGACGATATCATATCATGAGCCTTGGATATCGTTCCACCCCCACAGTCTCATGTTCGTACTTGAATATTTGTCTTTTTTTGTTGTCAGAAACCTGTTTAAAAAGCCATAAATTTGCAAAGTCACTACCCGCTTAGCTCCTTGCCATATTTGTACCATAGTTGCCATAGAAACCAGTCTAAATATCCAGGATACTCTTGATTCCTCGTGCGCACAGAGACATGAACGTCCTGGTTCCTCTGAGCGCACGTAAACGCCAAATCCAGGATCCTGTCATCACCGGGATAAGACTCATAACTGGACAACTCGGGCGCATGTGAACACACTCGGTGAAAATCTACCAACGCTATCGGCACGAGAACATGATTTATTTCAAGCCTGTATCAGAGCAATGAGATTTAAAAGGTGCTGTACTTAGTTTTAGTTTTACTTTGTCTTAAAAAATGTGAAAAACAGAAATGGACCCACTGCAAACTCTTTTAAAATGAACTAAAGTCCCTGATGATGGAGCGACCCTCAGGAACAAGGCCCACTGTCCTAAACTGGACTGACACGAGGAAAAAAAGGAGGGGGGAGGATAAATGAATGAATAAATAACCAAGGAACAAAGGGGTAATGAAAGGAGAAGGAACAGAGAAAGGAAGAGGGGGAAAAAAAAGATCACTAATTACAAGAATAATTATTTTTTTTTTTTTTTCCTCTTCTGTTTTAAGACAAACACGATATGAAGTAAAGTTATTCCTCGTTTACCTTGTGTATTCAGAGCATTCTAATTATTCCCCACAATAAGCACTTTTCATAAGCTTTCAGAGACGGGAGCGGAGTTTGCCATTTGTTGTACGCATCTAATTAAAAAAAAAAAAAGTTTTATTTTCCGATAGTCATGAAGTGCACGTTGCCGTTGTCGTTATGATTACCACAAGAGCAGACTTTGGCTACGTTCAGACTGCAGAGATTTCTTTTGTGAAATCCGATGTTTTTGCGAGGTCGTTCACATTTCCAGTTAAATGTGACTTGTATGTGACTCCAGTGTGAACATTAAACGGCCCAAAAGTGTCCCACATGTGACACTGGAGACACGACGACGTCAACCGCAGCGAGCGTCTCTGTGTTTACGGAAGTTGTCCAAACATGGACGCAGCATCGAGCACCTGGAGATTTTAAAGTTCCTCTCGTACCGGAGCCAGAACATGAACAACTTAGAACGTGTTGTAGCTAACAATTTTCACCTACTTCAGTTTTAGGAGCACATATCCAAGGCTATGTTCAGACTGCAGCCTGAAGTGACCCAAATCCGATTTTTTTTTTTTTTATTTTATTTTTTTTTTTGGCCTCTGTGTGACCTGTATCTGATCTTTTAATGACAGTCTGAACAACACAGACCCGATTTATTTAATTTTTTTCAAATGTGACCCAGGACACTTGGATATGTGCTCCTGAAACTGATACATATCTGATCTTTTGACATGTGACTTCAGTCTGAACGGCCAAAGTGCATTCATCCACCTACACGTTATCAACAAGACACAAACGTCACTATTCTGCGCTGAAGTAGAGAAAATTGTTAATGAAGCAAAGCACATCACCACTCACCACTCTTGGCTCCGTCTCCACATCCACACGTTCCTTTCAACGGACGTCGCTGCCGCTGCCCCACAAAACACCACGACCAAAAACCTCGTCCTTCTCCTTCTCAATCTCCTCCTTAAAACAAGTAAGTTGTTCATGTTCTGGCTCCGGTACGAGAGGAACTTTAAAATCTCCAGGTGCTCGATGCTGCGTCCATGTTTGGACAACTTCTGTAAACACAGAGACGCTCGCTGCGGTTGATGGGCCGTTAATGTTCACACTGGAGTCACACACAAGTCACATTTAACTGGAAATGTGAACGACCTCGCAAAAACATTGGATTTCACAAAAAAATCGGAATTGAGCGTTAAGCCCTGCAGTCTGAACGTAGCCCAAGTGTCCTGGGTCACATTTGAAAACATCGGATCTGTGTCGTTCACACTGTCATTAAAAGATCAGATACAGGTCACACAGGGGCCAAAAAATCAGATTTGGGTCACTTCAGGCTGCAGTCTGAACATAGTCTTAGAATTATTTTGACCTGGAGAATGCCTCATTCCGTATTTGTACTGGGGTAATTAAATCTGCCGGTGTGTGCCTATATTTGCCTAATTCCTGGTTTCCCGCTTCCTGTTGTGACATTTTGGGGACTCATTAACAATTTATAACCGTATAAGTTACATTCTGTGATTGTAGATGGCCGTTATTTTAAGGTCCAAAACATGAAATGCCAAAGGTATATGAGAGTAGGTCTGAGTGTCATTAAGAAGCAGCCGACATGATGCATACCTCGATACATAAGCCACGATACATTTTTCGATTCAATACGATGCATTTCAAATCTATTTGATATGTTTCAGTGACATAAAAGTCTAAATCATGACTGTGATACTAAGTCTACTAAGGTTATGTTTACACTGAAACAAGTCACTGTATCGGAAACTATTTGTGTCCATGATCCGCACGGTAACACGAAACCACCTGAAATGATAATCACATGATTAGGCTGTCATGACGTCACGTGGGCGGTAAAAAAAAAAAAAAGTGGAGCACCGTGTCTGAAGTTGCAGCAGCCGATTTTGAGCCGAGGAAGGTGGCAAGTGTGAAAACAGTCTTTGTGGACCTTGTACTAGTGAGTAGTTCTGGCTCCGCTGTGTCTCGTTTTTCTCTGGTTTGTTTAAACTGTTTTCCGCAATAGTGTCACATGACCGATGTCCTACATCAGAGTATCAGTGTTTTCAGGTGTCCACATGGTGCCGGATCAGATCTGTACACAGGTGAATTTGTGGGAACTGGAGGCACCAGATCGTTCCGTCTCTGGAGCCGTTTTCCATCAGATTAGTGTGAACGAACACTGCATCCACAAAGAAAACAACTTGAATATGTACTAGTGTGGGTGGGAGCTAAGTCTACTAATTTTGTGCAGAGTTAATAGGAAAAATCGTTTTACTCATCAAAATGATGAATCGTCAGTGTCTCACAATAATATCATGGACTGTCACAATATATCGAATTACAAGTTTCTTTGCTTTAATGCAGGTTTTTATAATAACAGCAGTTTATAAACATGGAGAACTACATGTCCCATGGTTCATTTTAGTGCAGAAAACACGAAGAAATATTTTTTACTTGAATTCTTGGGATTGTGACGGAAATGATTAACACCAAAATCTTGTCAAGGTATTTTAAAAGCAGAAACGTGTCCTATCTACAAATACATTAGCCTCTCCAAAATATCACAATAAATATCGTACCATGAGATGTAGGGGTGTGCAGAAATATTGAAATATCGATATATTGTATTGCTTAATGTGATGATACAGCAGCACACGGTATCGATACTGTATCAACATATCACCAAGAGTAATTTTTGGTGTATTTTACTCAATTATTTTGTTACAGAGCTACAGTTTTGTTGCTTGTTTGGTGGAAGGAAAATTATTTATGCAACACATTTGACATTTTCACTGTTTTGATGATTAAAATGGGTGTGTTTTTTATTCACTTTGCACAAGAAGTGGTTTAACAAAGATTTTTAGTGTCAGACATGTTTTAGCCTTTATTTTTATTGAATCGTATCGACTCGATTTGAAATATATTGAATTGAATGTGCACCGTATCGAGATATGTATCGTATCGGCAACTTCTTAATGAAACCCAGCCCTAGTGAGATGCATATCGTGATAATGTTATACCGACAGATTTGTATATCGTTACATCCCTACTAAGTCCACTAATTTTGTACAGAATTAATATGAAAAACATTCATTTTCCTCATCAAAATGATGGAAATGTCAACAAAGTTGTAGCTCTTACACAAAATAATTTAGTGAATTATACCAAAAAATACTCTTGGTGATATATCGATACTGCATTGTCAAATTAAACAATGCGATATATCGATATTTAAATATTTTTGCACACCCCCTATTCAAGAGCACATTTAAAGGCCAATAACTATACAAATAAAATGCTTGAACACATTTTAAAGGATTAACTTGGGCGTGGTCTTTCTCTGATTACGTTAAAACGCCGCTGTTGTGTTTCAGGAGGAGATGAAGGAGAAGGCGAAGTTGGAGGAGGAGAAAAAGGATGAGGAGAAAGAAGACCCCAAAGGAATCCCAGAGTTCTGGCTCACGGTGTTTAAGAACGTGGACCTGCTCAGCGACATGCTCCAGGTTTGTACCGCAGACCCAGAGCGGTCACGTGATATTACAGTCGATTATTCTGGCCATGACCCAAGACTTACTGAAGCTGCATCGTGTTTCTCCGTGGAGATGTTCTACTGTGAAACATTCCAGACAAAGCGATGACATTAAACTTTTCTATCTTCATGGAGCTCAAGCCAAATCCACTTTATTTCTGTAGCACATTTTACAAACAAAGCAGTTTCTAAAGTGCTGCACAGAGATCATAAAACGAAGAAAACGAAAAGGTAAATTTCTAAAATGTGTTCCTACCAAGTCCTAAAACGATAAAAGCAAATAAAAGACAGAGGACCCCACAACTCACTCGGTGTTAATAAAAGTGGTTCTTAAGACGACACTTAAAACTCTCCACTGCGGGGGCTGTTGGGACGTGGGGGTCGGAGCGTTCCAGAGTTTGGGGTCGGTCACAGAAGGTCCGGTCCCCCCCCTGTGGTTTTAAGTCTTGTTTTGGCTCCCACGAGCTGGAGCTGGACCTCGGACCTCGGATCTTATCCAAATTTACATCCCTGCACCCTCTGAAATGTAACGTGAGGCCAGTCCATTCAAAGCTTTAAAAAAGAACAAGCAAAATCCTGAAATCAACTTTAAAATGAACTGGAAACCAACGCAGCGACGCTAAAATTGGGGTGATGTGCTCACGTTCTTTGGTTCCAGTTAAAAGGCGCGCGGCAGAATTTTGGAATAACTGTAAAGGGTGAAGTATGGCTCTGCTGCCGTCACCTTATCGCCGTCATTTTTGATTTATGGGTCTGCGTCAAGGTCTATGAGCCGTGAAGTAATTCACAGATGCAACACAAGGCGAGGATATATGTCCAATCATATATACGGTCTAAGCGTGTGACCTGCAGACTTATAATCTCTGAAAAGTTTCACATGAACCATCTCCAATGCGATAGAAGCACAGTCTATGCGCCACGATGTAATTCACCGACACAACGCGAGGAGGCGAGGATATGTCAATTCGTATATATAGTGTATGTGTACGACCTGTAGACGTATAATCTCTGAAAAGTTTCACATGAACCATCTCCAACGCGACAGAAACACAGAACAGACTCACCATCAGCAGAAACACCCCTCTGTCACAGAAAGAACACTCATATTCCACTGAGCTGTGTCCTTTAGTCCGACAGAAACTGAACCGCGTCACGAGCTGTTTATTTCGGCGCTAAGTTTATGCAAATGAGCCATGTGGTTTTAAGTTTTGTTTCTGTAAAACGTAAACAAATGTGCGCAAAGCTGCATTAAACACATTATTACTGAATGTATAATGAAAGAAATGAAAGGAGAGAACAGGAAATTTATGTAGAAAGGACCAGTCACAGCTCTTATTGTCTGCGTCACTTCGACACGTAGTTAGAAAATTACAGAGGTGCATGTCGATCGACGCAGACGCTCTGTGTAGGAAGTTCACATCGACGCGGAGAGTCTGTGTCCTGATGTGGACGATTTGGCACTGGACCGTAAACCGGACTTGAGTGAGAAAGTGCATGATGGATAATTCCAGAGAGAAAAGTGCAATAGTCTTCAAATGTGTGGAAAGGCGACCCCTGCTCAGTCAGAATGTTTTTCTAGGTATTTTTGAAATATAAATCCACCTGTAACTGAATAAATGTAAAGTAGAGCTGTTTTAATGTCACACTGTGGAACGTTCCGGACAGAGCAGCGACATCTCCATAGAAACAAGACGGTGATGGACCCTCCACCAGAACATACACAGTGCACCTTTTTAAAAACATTGTGCTTTTGTCAAATAATAAAATCAAAATTGTGTTTTTAGAGCACGTTTAAAACGGCCAAAGCTGAACCAAAACACTGCTGTAGTTGTAATCTGACACCCAGGGATCGGTGTTGTATTTTTGGACTTTTTAAATTGCGATATTGATCCAGAACGACTTAATAATAAAGGAACAGGATGAGGTATAAGGAGCCGTTTCCCGTCTGCCCCTTTTATAGTAAACGCCAGCTCAACAAAGTGCTACATGCTTGGATTTTGACAAACTTTATCGATCCACAAGGGGAAATACTTCAACGGAAATTACTTACTTATGCACCTCCTATGGATATGTGCAGATCACACAAGAGAACAGCAGATTATTTTCCACTTAAAATGGCCTTTTCGATTGTATATTTGTCAAAAAGGAGCATTTTTATAACATAACCACAGATTCCGAGTGTCTGCTGTGTGGTGTTGTTCTGCCCGATATTTAATTCAGATGTTTTCTCTCAGTATCAGATTTGTTTTTCCGCCGCTGGAAACGTTGCAAATAAAACGTGACTCATTAGTTTCGTGTGTTTCTCCCCGAAGTGGGCGGATGTGCAGCAGAGGACACGGCAAAACAGCGGAGCGGCGCTTTTATTTTATTTTATTTTATGCAGCCGACTTTTCAAACATATCCGCACCTTCGCTCAGTAAATAAAAACTTATAATTCCCCCAACTTTTTCCTTACACCTTATTTTATTTTAGCTTAAACACACTTCCCACAAATGCATTAAAATCCTCACCTCCTTTGCACTTTCTGGCGTCGCTGCTGTTGTCTGGCAAACATGATTCTTAGTGGAAAATGCAGGGGCTGAAAAGACTAACAATGTGGCTCCAGAAAACTCCTGAGTATCAAAATCCCAGCCTGATTCATCAGCCGGTTTCACTTCGTGGAAACCATGTGACCTCGCAGCATTAGGATTCTTTCGCTCAACTGTAGGCGGGTGTTTTTTTTATTTAACTAATCGCTGCTGTTTGTTCGTGATGTATGTAATGCACCAAATCCCGTAGGAAGAAGGACAATAACGTCTTTCCCCTTGATAAAATTCACCAAACATTCTCTTTCTTCCGGCTTTAAATCCTCGATCTGGGGAAACGTTGCCAACACAGAATGTCTTCGTCTACATGACATCCGGCCCGCCAAGCCATTTTATGTGGCCCACAATGGGTTAAAAGGTATAATTTATTATGATGTTGTGACTCTGTGCCGCTACTACATCTCCCACAATGCACCGCAGTTGTTTCCGGCGAAGTGACTGCATCTCGCCACTGGAGAGGCCAAGAAAACTCATCAAATTTCCCCAAAACTGTCCAAGAAAATAAAAACTGATGCAGAAGGACGGTTATTTCGTGAATGTAAATGTTTTAACTTAATCCTTTAAATCAAATCCAGTCCACTTTATTTCTGCAGCACATTTCATAAACAAAACAGTTTCCCAAGTGCTGCACAAATACAGATAAAACATGTCCAAAAGAAATATAAAGTAAAGCTCTACTTAACTCTACTAGTCCTCATTAAGACAATGAAACTAGTAAAATCAAAGAACAACAAGAATACCAGTAAATAATAAAAGGTAAAAAAAAACATGAAAATAAATCAGAAATATGAAATGGAAAATTAAATACAGACTTTTACAGATTTGTAACATACTGATATTATAGGTAGTTACAGTCTTAACTTTACAACTGGCCCTTTGATGACAAACATGATCCAAATGTGGCCCTTGGTGAAAATGAGTTTGACTCCCCTGGTCTACGTCCATCTCGACGCTTTGTTTACTGTTGTGCTGTTCCACAAAAGGGACACAGACAGATGCTTGAGTTTGACGTCATGACTTCACAGCTCTTCATTGATTGACTAGAGTGTGGTCTACAACTTCCTGGATTCTTGCAAACCGTCTAGTGTATTCTGACTCCTGACCTAGTCACTGAAGAGAAATGAAATTAGGCGGAGACACTAGTTTGTGCAAGCCCGGCTATCAGATCCCCCTCTATACATAAAACAGGGGTTGAGCGGTCAGATCCACTGACCCACAGGTTGATGGTGTGATTTCAGCTCTCACAGATGAATGCTGCCGTTGTGTCCTTGGACAAGACGCTTAACCCGCCTCAGTGTCTGTGTACTGTGGTGTGTGGATGGATGAGTGGTTCCTTGTAGAGCCGTACAAAACAATGCAGTGCAGACACATTTTGAAAGCTCATTGCGGGAGCGAGCAGGTGGGATGATGAACCGCAGTCCCCCAAACTAAATATGAGAATAAAGTAAAATATACAAATAATGTTTGCCTATCATATATATAATTTGTGCTGGATATTTTATTTGGCATTAATATAAACATTTTAAGCCTAAATTTGCAGATGTGGTCTAATCTCACGCACATTTTAGACCAGAAGTATCAGACTCAGGCCCGTTAGCCAAAATTGGCCCACGATATAATTACATTTGGCTGCAATATTATATCAAATCTGCATTAGAGCTGCCCACCAGCTACAGATCGACTATAGAGACATTATTTATTTAAAATGCTGTTATTTTATATCCTGTTTGTTCTGGATTCAGTGTTTGAGCAAAACTATTATTAAACATTTATTTTACTAAGAAAAGGTTTAATATTACATATCTCGAAAGAAGAGAAAACATGCAGATGCTGTTGAAATGTTTCAGTAAAAATTTAGTTTGGTCCACGACTTAGTCCCAGTTTTTAATTTTGGCCTCTGTGAATTTGAGTTTGACTCCTCTGTTTTAGACAATTCCTTTCCACTTCTCTGTGTTTAGTAGAGTTTTAAAAGGCAAACATCAACATCTTGCAGGTTTTGCGGGCGGGAGCGAGACAAAATATCGCAGATGTGGGCAGGAGCGGGACTAAAAATTACAATTCTTTGCATGTAGTAGGTCCAGGATCATTTGAGGGCAGCAAAAGTAAAAAATATCAGATCTATCTTGTATTTTTTAACACTTTTCTATTTATATCAGACCATCCTGCTCTATAAATGGCATTACTTTCATTTCTAAACCGAAGGATGATTATTTTCTTCACTATGTGGTGTCTTAAAACTTTAAAAAATCTATAAAAATTACCACTTTTACCATAGAAATTGCTTTTAAACTGTCAAATACAGCTGTTTTCACCTGATATTAACCCTTAAATTGTTTCTCTTCTCTTCTCTAGGAACACGATGAGCCTATCCTTAAACATTTACAAGATATCAAAGTGAAATTCTCAGATCCAGGGCAGCCCATGGTAAGAACTTCCACTGTTTAAATCCATTTTGTTCGTTTTTTTTCCCTCATTTTCATACAGATCTAAATTTATCAGCCCGTGTTTGCAAATGTGTGAATTGTCTCTCTGCCGTACACACACGTGCAGAACACCCCCAGCGTGATGTCATATCTCCTGCGTCAGCACAAAGCCCAGTCTAATGTCGTGTTTTTTTTTTTTTTTTTTTTCTGCTGCAGAGTTTTACATTAGAATTCCACTTCGAGCCAAATGACTTCTTCTCGAACACAGTCCTCACAAAGACGTACAAAATGAGGTCTGAGCCGGACGAGAGCGACCCCTTCTCCTTCGACGGCCCAGAGATCATGAGCTGCACAGGGTGAGAGTAAAACCCCGGGGTTTATACTCTAGAATATATATACTGTAGTATTTTATGTAGTTGTAAGGACGACTGTAATATGTGGAAACTTGAGCGCTGGTTAGAAATAACTACAGGATGTCGGGTCAGGACGGCAGTAGTAGAAGTTCAGGTGAGTTAGAATGAGGAAGTCCACATCCAGGTAAATGTAGAACGTTTCTTTAATGTCTGAGCGCGTAGAGACGTGTGTGTAGAATAAACAAATACAAATATTATATTAATAATAAATCAAAATGGTGGTTAATGGTGATTTATTTACATAGTACTGCAGACAGTGTTGGGAAGGTGACTTTTAAAATGTATTCCCCTACAGATTACAGATTACAGACCCCAAAATGTAGTTTGTAACGTAATCTGAGTAATGTAATCTGAATACTTTGGATTACTTGATTTGCTGTAGAGAAACAAAGACGAGGATTTTGTAACATAAGATGTTTTGTCTGATAAAAGAAAATAAAAAGCCCAGACTTTACTTAAACATATTAAAAATATTATTGATAGAAAAGGAGGAGATACGGTCTACGCAGCAGGATTTAGTCCTGTTAAATCCTGGTTGAGTCCTGGTTGAGTCCTGGTTGAGTCCTGGTTGAGTCCTGGTTGAGTCCTGGTTGAGTCCTGGTTGAGTCCTGGTTGAGTCCTGGTTGAGTCCTGGTTTGAAGACTTGGGTTTAGACTTGGGTTTAGACTTGGGTTTAGACCTCATTTGGACCTGGGTTTAGACCTGGGTTTAGACCTGGGTTTAGACCTGGGTTTAGACCTCATTTGGACCTGGGTTTAGACTGGGTTTGGACCTCATTTGGACCTGGGTTTAGACCTGGGTTTAGACCTGGGTTTAGACCTGGGTTTAGACCTCATTTGGACCTGGGTTTGGACCTGGGTTTGGACCTGGGTTTGGACCTGGGTTTGGACCTGGGTTTGGACCTGGTTCAGTGTCTCTCAATGAGTGGAATTACCGAAAAGAAACCAAAAAGGATATGGCCCAAAATGTGAAAACAGGAAAATACTTCTGTGTAATCCATTTATTTCAACAAAGTAACTGTAATCCGATTACCACTCACTGACTCAGTAACTAACTGAATACAGTTACTCATAATTTGTACTTTGATTACATAACTCTGGTACATGTAATCTGTTACTCCCCAACACTGACTGCAGGTTACAAAGGGGGTCAGTGTGGTCGGTACAGTTTGGATATAAATGGATCTAAATTAAATTACACAGGTTTAATACAAAGGAAACTGCACATATATAAAACAGATTGTGAAATAAAGGAAAAATGGTATTCTAAACTACACACTTAACACAATACAAAACGAAAGTCACCCACAAAAACTTCTAAACTGCACAAAACGCAGTCAAACTACAGCCACAAACTCTAAACATGCACACACTCATACACACAAGAATACTCACATCTATTGGACGCACATCATCATTCAGACGTTAAAGTGTCCGAGCCGGAGCCGATAAAAGGAGCATATGAGCGCTGCAATATTGACTGAAGTGTTTGTGAGTCACTCGGTGTGCAAACGCGCCCCTCTTGTGGTGGAAAAGAGTATAACAATGAACAACAACTAATAATATAACCAGACTAAATGTGTTTTATACAGTAGTACTTCATGCACAGGCTTTTTCACCTGGGGCTGTGGTGGGTCCATGGATCTAGAATAAAAACTGGATTAGGTGTTCTTTGTCTGTTTTGGCTTGAGACAGACTAGTGGCCGCTCTGGGTACTGCAACTCCCGGGAGTTTGGGCCCAGAAAGAATTTTTTGGGAATTCAAACCATAGACCGTTTGTATGAGTGGACATGGTTAACGCTGTAGCTGCCGTGCGCCAAATAGAAAGTTCTCCAGGAGTCTCTTCCGGCTCCTTCTGGCTCCAATTGACTCACATTAGGATCTTGTGGCTCCTCTCTCTGTACCTGCTGCTGTGAGCCTCGTCATTTTGGTCTTAAAATGTTCGTATTAACCCGCAACACATGATCCTGATTTTTTATTTTTTTTTCTCACTATTTTGTCTGTCAATAAAATTCTATTTAAAACAGTCTGGCTCCAGATTCGCTCCTGTAACCATGAGCGTCGAGAGCCTCATTTGAGCGGCGCTGAACACTGTGTCTATGATTCAAACTTCTCATTTAACTTCTTAGGTTCTTTTAAAGACAATGCAGTAAAGTGTATTTACTAGAGCCCGACCGATATAGATTTTGTTGTGGCCGATATGATACCGATATAATGATGGTTGGAGCTGCCGATAGCCGATATAATCACCGATATATTTAGTGATGTCAAATTCACTGTAAATCTTGAATTATTTAAAAAAAACTTAGGTTTGGCTCTTGTGGATTTTAAACTGGGTTTATTTAGGCAACATTTGTTATTCTGCCTCCTTACATGAAATGTCATAGGACTAAAGCAGGTCTAAAGCAGGACTAAACCAGAACTGAACCAGCACTGAAAAAGCACTAAACCAGGACTATAACAGATCTAAACTATGTGCAAAACAGAACTAAACCAGAATTTAACCAGGACTGAGTGTCGGGACTCGGTCTCTATCTCTCTCCCTCTCTCGACCCCAAGATTAGTCCTGGTTTATTTATTTTATGCTGAATATATTTTTGCAAGTTTTTTTTTTTACACTATGCACACGCAGAGTTTTGAAAGTTTCGTTTTTAGCCGCTGCCGCTGTCAAACTCCCACGAGTCTGCACGCGGCATGAAGAGAAAAAAGTGAGAGAAAGAGAAAACACGGCTCCCAATAAGGATCAGGCTCCCGTCGTGCGCTTCAAAGAGCCGGATCTAAGAGCCGCTTCGTTCGTGAACGACCCATCACTGCTAGCGAGTAAATAAACAATCGTTATTAGCCTTTAGCCGTAAAAGCTGCGTGCCGCGCGGTAATTAATTATATGCGCAAATTTCATCATTCACACGTCTGTTCACAGCTCATTTACATCAATGCTGGTCCACTAACAAATATATGGCCAATATAATCACTTTACAATAGACCAAGAGAAAACAGCCTGTTTATGTGTGGGAGCTACAGCAGCTAACCGCTAACCAAAAACTTGCTTCAAAGTCGACATATTTCCAACACTCAGCGTCACACAGGCTCCTCCCACATCACAAGTCTGAACTAATAAATGTCCTTTTAATCCAGACTCAAACCGATTGTCCGTAAAAAGAAAATAATCCCAGTGTTTGGATCTGTGTCTGCGGATGTAAACAAACACACGTGACTCTCACACAGACAAATGACTCCGCAGATAAATACTGATGCGGAGCCACATATTAGGACATTTATCTGACTGTAAATTGGATTAAATGAACAGAATGTAGAGAGTCTAAGCTTTATAACGACGAATAACATGCCCACGTGAAATATCGGCCCCTATCAGCAAGTATATCCGATATATCGGTCGGGCTCTAGTATTTACCTTGGTGACAGTTCTGAAGATGCTTGCAGCGAGCAGCCGAAACATGTCAACAAGGTAAATACACTTTACTGCATTGTCTTTAAAAAGAACCTAAGAAGTTAAAGTATATAAGAAGACAAAATGAACATCATTGGCTCAAACTGCTCGTGTTCAACTGACAGAACATCCACAACTTTCACAAAGGTCAAAGATTTTGTAGGGATTTTTTTCTATTTTCACAACATTAACTTTTTAACTTAATCCTCAAAGCTCCTAAAATTTTGCTTTGTAGGACTTGTCCTCACTCCGCTCTAGCAGCTCTCACTCTGATTGGTCCAAACGCTCCACACTGTGCACGTTACAGACGTCACATGTGTTGGAGGAGCACACCTGTATTGAGGAAGTAAATGTGGAAGAGAAAATGATCTTTTGGGCCCATGCGCCAATGAGCACAGACCTGAAAACAACAATCTTGGGTTCATCTTCAGATTTAATTCTAGTTCTGTGGGTGGGACTCAACAATAACTGTCAATGCCCCTGGATATAGATATATTTTTTTTAAATACATGTCAGATTTTACTCAGAGGAAAGACTGAAATCAGAACTGCAAAACTATGTAAAAATAAATTAAAACATTTAAAAATATATAGAGAGTTAAACACATGGAACGAGACAGATGTAGTGCAAATGATTCTGGTAAACGGGAAAGTGTCTCGTTGCCGTAGCTCCTTGTCACAGCTTCATCTCATCAGATCTGAGGCAAACTGGGTCGGATCTGAAGTGCTTTGGGGGTCTTGAAAGGCGCTGTACAAATTCAGTGGTTGTTAATAATAAAGACCAGTTTTCAAAAATGGGCTTAAGGACTGTAGCCATTTTTATGAATACTGACTCAGTCCATAAAGCGAATCGTAAAAACTGCAGTCGTTAAGGTCGCCGTCTTTTTAGGACAGATCCTGGTTCTATTTTTATTCTAAGGGAAGCAAAGCATTGAATCCAGTTTCAAGTGTTTTCATTGTGTACATGACCTTTCTTTGAATCTCTGCCTCTGAAAATGTCCTCGTCTGTTAGACAAAAGGTTTGAGATCACGAATATCAACCAGGTCAGCAGGTTTTTAACACAAAATCACTGACAAATACTGATATTCAAGCTTTGATGGATCATAAACCTACTGCCAGACTAGTGTGTAGAATGTTTACTCTTATAAACAGTGTTGGGAGTAACAGATTACATGTTCCAGAGTTATGTAATCAGAGTACAAATGATGAGTAACTGTATTCAGTTACAGTTAGTTACTGTATTCAGTTACAGTTACATTTTGGGTTATATCTCTTTTTTTTTTCTCAGTAATTCCACTCATTACCGGACACTAAACCACACTATAACTAAAACCGGGACTAAAACCGGGACTAAAACCGGGACTAAAACCGGGACTAAAACCGGGACTAAAACCGGGGACTAAAACCGGGACTAAACTAGGTTTAAAACCAGGACTAAACTAGATCTAAAACCAGGACTAAACTAGATCTAAAACCAGGACTAAACTAGATCTAAAACCAGGACTAAACTAGATCTAAAACCAGGACTAAACTAGATCTAAAACTAAAAACCAGGACTAAACTAGAAAACTTCTAAAACCAGGTCTAGAACCAGGTCTAGAAACCAGGTCTAAAGCCAGGTCTAAAAGCCAGGTCTAAAGCCAGGTCTAAAACCAGGTCTAAACCAGGTCTAAACCAGGTCTAAACCAGGTCTAAACCAGGTCTAAACCAGGCTGTACGGACCGTGTCTCTTCTGTCAATAATATTTTTAATTTGGTTCAGTAAAGTCTGGGCTTTTTGTCTTTTATCAGACAAAACTTCTTATGTGAAGATTTCCTGGTCTTTCCTTCTCTACAGCAAATCCAAAGTATTCAGATTACATTACTCACTTTAAGTAATTTAATGGATTACGTTACAAACCACATTTTGGGGTATGTAATCTGTAGGGGATTACATTTTAAAAGTCACCTTCCCCACACTGTTTATAGTTTACTTGATGCTTTACTGACATGTCGTCCTCTTCTTCTTCAGTTGCACGATCGAGTGGACGAAGGGCAAAAACGTCACATTGAAAACAATCAAGAAGAAACAGAAGCACAAGGGGCGCGGCACCGTCCGGACAGTGACCAAGACTGTGCCCAACGACTCCTTTTTTAACTTCTTCACTCCTCCAGAGGGTACGAGCCGCTCTAACGTAAAAAAATATAACACATGATATAACGAACAGAACAGAGTAAAACATACACAAATATGACTGCTATATAAATATAAATATATAAAGTACTTCTGTAAATGATCTGTGAGTGTAACCTACGTCTGTGTGATCTTTTACAGTGCCAGAAAACGGAGAGTTGGTGAGTTAACTTCTAAATGTTTGAATATTATAAATACACAATCACATTTTTATTTATTTATTTGTTTAAGTTTGGACTGTACCAGTGAATATTATGATATAAACACCAGATTGAGAGAGAATTTCCGCATTTACATGAGAGCTTTAATTCGGAATAAAAGTATTTTATTTCTGAATTAAAATTGATTCCGCTTTAAAAAGACCATGAAAACACTGATTCCTAATGAAAATTATTATTCAGAATTATACTTTACTCCGAAGTAAGTGGGTGGTTCATTCCGATTTTTTAATTAATTTACCGTATTTTTCGGACTATAAGTGGCACCAGTGAAAAAGTGCATAGTGAAGAAGACAAAAACATTAGTCGCACTTTTTGAGGGAAATTTATGTCATAAAATCAGGGACCAGGAACCGACATTTTATCTTGAAAGGCAAGTTATAGTAACAATAGAATAAAAACGAGCGTTAATATGTTAATGTCAAACATTTCACAGTTCTTCAGATAAACTATAACATAAACAAGAGAACAGAACAAGTTCAACAAACTCTCCATCTCACTCCAAATCACTAAATCCATTCAGTTCTTCATCCTCGGTGTCACTTCTGAACAACCATGTAATTCTTCTCTCTCTGTGTTTCCAGGATGAAGACTCAGAGGCGATCCTGGCCGCAGACTTTGAGATCGGTCACTTTATTCGTGAGAGAATCGTTCCTCGGGCCGTTCTCTACTTCACAGGAGAGGCCATCGAGGACGACGACGACGATGTGAGTCAAACTGACGCTTTAAACTGCAGCGAACTGACTTTTATATTGGCATTTAACTATAATAACTCTATTATAAAGTAAATATTTTTTGCTACTACATTTTGTTTATGGTGTAGCATGATCTACTGGGTCAATTTGCAGCTTTTTGACAGTTTTTAAAAAGTGCTCCAGACTTTGAAACAGAGCGGACATTTGTGCTCGGTTCGCTGCGTTTCCCTTTTCTCCAAACGTCACTGTGATGTCTCACACGGTGGGGCTGAGAGGGGCTCCTCACGTCCCGCCCTTAGACGCCAGTGTCTGCGCTCGCCACGTAATAACCTCCATCTGACTCACTGGCGGCAGTTAGTCCAACCCGAAAATGTATTTATTTGGTTTATCTAGCAGGGTGTGTGAAGAATCCCTCAGTCGTCCAGGTAGAATCCATGGAGAGGAGAAAAATCAGTTGACTAGACAAAAGTTAGTTTGGTTGAAGATGTTTTAAAGCTCTGAAGAACTGAAGAAGCGGCTTGGATGAGCTGTGGAACATATTCAACCAAACTAAGGCTGCGTTCAGACTGCAGCCTGAAGTGACACAGATCAGATTTTTTTTTTTTTTTTTTTTTTTTTTGGCCCCTATGTTCCTGTATCTGATCTTTTAATGATAGTCTGAACCACACAGATCAGATTTTTTCAAATGTGACCCAGGACACTTGGATATGTGCTCCTGAAACTGATACATATCTGATCTTTTGACATGTAACTTCAGTCTGAACGGCCAAAGTGCATTCATCCACCTACACGTTATCAACAAGACACAAACGTCACTATTCTGCGCTGAAGTAGAGAAAATTGTTAATGAACTCTGTGTCACTGAAGTGAAGCACATCTCCACTCACCACTCTTGGCTCCGTCTCCACATCCACACGTTCCTTTCAACGGACGTCGCTGCCGCTGCCCCACAAAACACCACGACCAAAAACCTCGTCCTTCTCCTTCTCAATCTCCTCCTTAAAACAAGTAAGTTGTTCATGTTCTGGCTCCGGTACGAGAGGAACTTTAAAATCTCCAGGTGCTCGATGCTGCGTCCATGTTTGGACAACTTCTGTAAACACAGAGACGCTCGCTGCGGTTGACGTCGTCGTGTCTCCAGTGTCACATGTGGGACACTTTTGGGCCGTTTAATGTTCACACTGGAGTCACATACAAGGCACATTTAATTGGAAATGTGAACAACCTCAAAAAACATCGGATTTCACAAAAAAATCAGAATTGAGCGTTAAGCCCTGCAGTCTGAACGTAGCCTTAGTTTTGTCCAGTCGACAAACTGATTTTTCTCCTTGCCGTTTATTTAGCAGGGACAGTGTACATTAATCAACATTTCTGTTAATGTATGTTTTTCGTCTGTAGTCCCTGGACAGATGTAAACACGTTCATCCTAAAAACACAACAATAAGAATTATACAAAAAGTTCAATTGTGCATAACAGTTAAATTAAAAGACAACGAGAATAAAAACACTAACAACCATAACCACAACGTACACAATGAGAAATAACGCACACACTGGAGCACACAGACGGGAGACACACGCTCGGTTAGGGAGCATTTCAAATGTCCTGGCCGTAGTTGATCCTGAAGAGGCCGTTACAGACGTGACTTTGACCCAAAACTCAGATTTTTAACAAATGTGCCCTAAAATGCCAAAATAAGGCCAGGGATAGAGATACACTTCTATTTTAGACCCATTTACACAGAAAAAAGACACACAAAAAAGTGATTTTTGGTGTTTAGAGGCCCTTTAAGTACTATGTGACATCACTCAGACTGTTCTTTATCCACCTTATTCGGCCCCGCCCACTTCTGTCTCTAAATGCTCCTGAAATCGTGCTTTTTTGTGGCAGCACGTTCCGGTTAAAAGGTCCTGTTCATGTCAGTGGAGAATTTGAGAAACGTTTTGCATCTTAAATATGACACAAAGTCGGTTCATTTGTGTAAAAACTTTCAATGTTCATGTGACGAACAAGTCAAACTGCACCGATTCTGAGGAGCTTTAAAAAGTTTTATTGTCTGTATTGAACTTATTTATTGTCGGGATCGGCCTCCTCTTCTTTTGAAATGTATTAGTGGGTGGAGTTTAGGCGTTTACTCCTTCTTAAAGTCTCGTCTGTTTTAACTAATTTGACCAAATGTGTTTATTTTTCCAGTACGATGAGGAGGGAGAGGAAGCAGATGATGAGGTGAGGAAACTTTACTCAAAATTAGAACCAGTTCCTCAAATATTAATGTTGAAATTTGTTTTTAAATGTGTTTTTTTGTTTATTTTTAGGAAGGAGAGGAGGAGGCCGATGAAGAAAATGACCCAGACTACGTTCCTAAGGTATGTTTTGTTTTTTTATAACCTTTTTTTTTATGAATTCCAAAACAGAAAACCCATTCTGCTCTCCTCCACTTTGCAATCCCACCACGAAAGAGTTTAAAATCTGAAATCAAAATTTAAAATCAGGCACAAGTTTCCTTATAATGTAATGTATAATTTTGGTAAAAAGAATAAATGTATTTCTTTTAAATTCAACAATGGCATGAAAAAAACTAACCAATCCACACGTTATTATGTCAGATAACTTAAATTTTTTTTTATAGTTTTAAATTTTCATTAAGAATTCTGCGATTTTTGTTTATTTTCTTCCTTTTAACGACAAAAACAAGTGCAAGTATTTTTGTAGTCCGCTCCCATTTTGATTTTTTTCTGAATTTTGGTTTTGTTTTTGTAATAATTGGGCTAAAGTGGGTGAAATCTCATCGTGAAAGTGTGTGGGCAGCGGGTGGAGGAGAGCTGAGGTTCAACATACAGAACACTGGTCACATGCCTCATTCTGCTCCTGCTTTGGTTCGCTTCGGCTTTCATTTACTTCAACCATTTCACATTTAAACCGGAGAGACGCTGCTCCGGGGCTGCACACGGCTCGTCGGCTCTGTTCTGTTTCCGTTACGTTTGATTGAAGGATTTTATGTAAAGTTTGAAAACTGTAGAAGCGTCCCGTGCCTGTGCAGCCCCGGTTTGGACCTTTTCTTTGCACCTGATGTTTTGAACTCCACATGAACTAAACCATCTTCTAACATTTAGACTGAACGCTCGTTTCCAAACAGTAGGTTTTGGAATAAACTGACAAATACGCAACCTCATAATAATAATAAACCAGCAGTCGCACGCACACAACACTTTAGAATTCTGTCCTACAAAGGCAAAAGACCTTAACTCATCTTGAAAAATGACTAAAAAGTTTGTTTTCTCTAGACAAGTCAAATTTTGGGAGCTCTACCGATTATAGAACTACCGTATTTTCCGGGTTATTAGACGCGCTCTTAAGCCTCAGCTCAGAGCGCCCCATACACGAATCCACTCGGGCGTCCCAGCACGACTTCAGTAAACTACAAAGCCGCAACCACCCGCAGAACACACAAACACACACGGAGCAGACAGCGACCGCACAGAGAAACACACCCACAGACACACTCATCACTCCACGCCGACGAGGAACGGAACGGAGGAACGAACCGAAAAAGCGAGTGCAATGTGCCCGTCCTGAGAAAGCACAGGCTCCGCCCTCCAAACGTGACGTAGGCTCTGAGTGAGCCGCCCTTCCTCCGCCATCTCAGGGAGGGAGGGGGAGACAGACGTGACCCTGATAGTGGCAGGAATAAACTTTTATTCATCATGGAGATACAGCGCGTTCAGCCGCATGTGTTGGACCCGGAATCGGACGAGGACTTTGAGGAGCACGAAGCAAAAGCACCGCGTCGACATCAGCTGAACATTACTGATTCGTAAAGTATTAAGCGGGGAAGGGGGTGGGTGTGAAGCGCCTTCTGCTACGTCAAACACGTCACATTACGTTCGTTCGTTGTTACGTGGGAGGGTGGCAGAAATACGCTGCAATTTGTAAAAAAAAAAAAAAAACACAGAATCAATCTAAAAACCACTTGGGCGACAAATACAAGGCCCACACATCGTTCTTAGAAGGTAGAAAGCTCTGAAAAGTTGATTTTGCACGAAATGGGCCCTTTAAAGTCCGGTGCGGTTTTATTTGTGGAAAAAAATTTGAAAATGGACCGTTCAATGACAGAGCGCCTGATAGTGCGGAAAATACGGTAATTTAAGATCACCAAAACGATTATTTAAAGTCATATCGCCTGTAAACCAAAGAAGCTGCTTCATAGTCTCAGACACAGTCCCAGACCCTGACCCTGCTGCTCTCACACACACGCACACGAACAAACACACACTCACACACACACACACTCACTCACTCACACGGCCTGCCCATACTCACAGCATGGCTTTGTCCTGAAGTACAGACCTCTTTTAGGCCTCTGGATGTTTGAGTCTTGCCTCTGTGTCAGCTCCTCTCTGACTCTCTCCTCACCAGGTTTAAGTGATCACTGTAGAATTACCTGTCCTGGTAGGTACACCTCCTCTGCCCCTCCTCACACAGGGCCCTCTGCGAATACTGGCACCCAAACATGTTTTTTATAATTTTAAATTGAAATAAAGTCTCTTATGTGAAATTAATATCGAAAGCGTCTTCCCTGTGTCCCCAGAGCCTTCACCTGCAGACAGAAACACGTCCTGCATTTGTCTCATTCTCAGTTTATGTTCAGGCCTCATGTGAATCTCAGAACCTCCAGAATACATTCTGAGTTCCTGAATTTCTGACTTCTGGTCATCACACAATCCACACTGGGAAGGGTCCTCTGAAAAAGTGAGCATCAAACCTCCATGTTTGTTTTCCCAGTGGGATGTGTCTATTGTCAAAGTCGATCTTTTCAAGTCTTTTGAACCATATCACTTTTGTTTCTGGTTCTGATCTTGTCATATTTTAGTTTTGGGATTTGGACATCGTAATTGTGTGGTTGTTGGATCCTAACAGCGGAAAATGGGCTTCGGAAGTTTGCGAACTCCATAACTGCAAAAGTGAATCAGATGTGTGTGACTCAAACCTCTGTTCAAACTGTTTCTCTTCCCAATGGAATTGAAAAATAGTGAAAGGTGAAGGCGATGGGCAGGATTTATCCACAGGAAGAACCAAAAAGGAAACATTTGACTGCCTAAGAAATCATCCTGAGTTTACAGAGAACATTTTATACGTGGAGCGACAACAAAGCAAAATCCTGATCCTTCGCTCAACCTTGGTTACAAATTTAAAAAGTCAACGCCAAAGTGAAAGTCACCAACTGTTCACCAAGAAACACCTTCCACTGCAAAGAGACCAAGACGTGATGTTGCTGTAAAACCACAAGAACAAGAAAGTGCAGCTCAGTCTGTTTGTCTTCTGCTCCTCTCCATTAACAAACGGGATGTTTTGTTGTCGCTCCACATACAAAATGATTCACTGCAAACTCAAGATGATTTCTCTTTTTGGTTCTTCCTGTGGATCAATCCTGCCCATCGCCTTCACCTTTCACTATTTTTCAATTCCGTTGGGAAGAGAAACGGTTTGAACGGAGGTTTGCAGTCACACACATCTGATTCACTTTTGCAGTTATGGAGTTCACAAACTTCCGAGACGTCCAACAACCACACAATTACGATGTCCGAATCCCAAAACTAAAATATGACAATATCAGAACCAGAAACAAAAGTGATATGGTTCAAAAGACTTGAAAAGATCGACTTTGACAATAGACACATCCCACTGGGAAAACAAACACGGCGATTTGATGCTCACTTTTGCTGAGGATCCTTCCCAGTGTGGATTGCTCGATGACCGGAAGTCCGAAATTCAGGATGCATGTACTGGCTGTAGGTGCTGGGGTTCAGGGAGTGACCGTTCAGATCAGAGACTCAAAACCGAAAATGAAACTGACAACGCAAATGAGACTTTAGACTAAACTTCCTCGACCTTGGACTCAACCAAAACCAATTAACTAATGACCCTTAAATCTAAAATACAAATCAGGCTCAAAACTACAAAACTCCGCGTAGTTCTTCCACAGAGGTGCCAGTATTGGGAGCGGACCCTGCGCCCCGATCACCCCCCTCCGTCCTCTTCTGTCTATGGCACCCATTTGTCCAAAGCACCCTGTGTTTGGCCGCCACGCTGAGCTAACACCGGCTAAGCTTACACTAACCCGCACTGTTGGTTTTCTGTTGGAGTTTCTACTAAACCTCTGCATCGGCACCGTGTATGTTTCTGTATGTTGAACTGTTCCTTTTGTGACGTTTATCGATGTTTTTGTTCGTGGTCTGTGACGACGTCTGCCATTTTTGAGATGTACTTTTGTTTTGAGTATCAGATTTCCATTGTGTTTGTAATACGTGTAATATTTTTAGATCCTTAAGGCCAGAACACGCTAGAGAATAAAACTTTTTCTGTGATTTTAAGATGCGTAAAAGAAAAAAAAGCGCAAGGAGTAAGAGTTTGTGCCGATTATTAGTCTCACAGTCGCATGAAGGACAGAAACGCCAACAACAACATTTGTGTCTCAGGACGGATTTTTACAGCAGAGGTTCCAGTTTCACATGTAAAAAGACGACTCAGAATGAAAACAAACACATGAGAATATCCACACTTTTAGAAATCTATCCTGAATGAAAACAAACGCATGAGTATAGGCGAGTTTCTGCTGATGTCATTGTTATTAAAGACCGCGTTGCTGCTGGGAAATATTTTGGTCGGAGGCAAGAAACACGATGGCGTCAAACACAGTGCGTAACCTCGTGTATTTATCCCCGATAATGGTAAATTCCTGCTGCATTATCGGATGCACAAATAGAAGCACGGAAGAAGGAAAATTTTTTTTTTCCTGAAAAGAACCGCTAACGGTGAATTAAACGACTTTCAAACATCCGCAGAACAAACGTAGAAGATCCTAACAAACCGTGGACTCCAACAAGTTCAACAACACATCGAGACTCTTGGAGGTTTTCATCTTTTCTGCTGTGAACGGCCCAGGAGTTTCCACCAAGTCATTGTGGATATCGCCAAAGAGAATATTTGTCCAGGCAGTTGCCGATTCTGACCAGAAATTTGGTTTGGTCCTTTTGTCGGGGTTGAAAAGGGTGATTTGGCTCCATCGATGCTTATGACCAATTTCTGGTCAAATGGTCTTGGGTCCTCTGCCGTTAGAGTGGATAAATAACCGGGATCAATACCCTTTACGTGCTTTCTCGCTCCGTCCGTCATGTTGAATTGGTGTTTCTTGCCGCCGACCAAAATAATTCCCAGCATGCAACGCGCGCTTTTGTCAACAATGAAACTCGCCTATTAGAGTGTGGATGCCGGCCCGCGTCCAACAGAGCAGTGATCGAATCCAACCCGAGCACGAGAGGTATTAAAATTAAAGTCATACTATTTTCATACATACTGCTAATGACATACGAAGGATATTGTTTGTGTTCCTCTAACGGACACAAAATACAAACTCAGGAAAGGGTGAAAATAATGAGAAGACTTTAAAGGGCCCATCTCATGCAAAATAACTCTTTTCACCTCGTATCTTCTGCAGAGCACAATTCATCAGCTTCTGCTACGTCAAACGCGTCGCATCATCGTTGTAGCAGCTTTAGTTCGTTGTCACGTGGGAAGGTGGCAGAAATGCGCTGCGATTTGTTAAAAAAACACTTGAGCGACAAATACAAGGCCCACACATCACTCTTGGTAGAAGGTAGAAAGCTCTGAAAAGTTGATTTTGCATGAGATGGGCCCTTTAAATTTACCACTTTAGGAGAGGTGAGTAATAAAGTGCAGCTTCTCATCCACATTATCCATAGAAATTGTCCTTCACAAATGCCATCCAGTCTAAAAAAATCTCACTGTCAATCCAGTTTGAAGCGTTGAAAGTAAAAAGGTGGGAGTAGTTCCTCACGTGTGTCTGTTTACATCCACACGTCGCACGGATCGAGCTGAAGCTGGAGATTAGTGTCAGTGACTCTACTTCCTATGGACTTTATCTCCAATCTTTTAAGCTTTAAAAATCCTGTATCTGAAGTTTTGCACCACATTTCACAAATAACAACATTTTCACTTGTATCTAAACTAGAAGTACAGAGCTCTGATCTTTTGAACACTTCAAAATCTCAAAGCGAGTGGTTTTACTGTAGACAGGAAACGGCTGACGCTCATGTGTCAGAGTCCAACCTGAGCCCAAACAGAAGTTCCAAATATTTGTCTCACGAACCTCAGTTTGACGATCAGGAATTTCCAATGGAAGACTATACAAAAATGAGAGCTTCACAATAACAATTGGAATTTATTTAATCAAATTTGAGTTATTCAGGGCAATACGTATAATTCAGAAATCCCTTGGCGAGCTGTCCGTGAATCTGTCCTGAATGAAAACAAAACAGAGGAATATCCACACTTTAGAAATCTGTCCTGAATGTAAATGACTATGTAGATTTTCTCTTGTAGTTGTTTTCTATTCTTTCAAAATCTGTTCTGAATGAAAATGAACAAGAGAATACGTTTTAGAAATTTGTTCTGAATGAAAACGGAACAGATGTCTAAAGTGTAGATATTCTCTTGTAGTTGTTTTCACTCAGGAAACAAAACAAAAAAGAATATCCACACTTAAGAAATCTGTTCTGTGTTTTGTTTTCATTCAGGACGAATTTCTAAAGTGTAGATATTCTCTCGTAGTTGTTTTCATTCAGAAGAATATCCACACTTTAGAAATCTGTCTTGAATGTAAACGACTGCGTAGATATTCTCTCGTAGTAGTTTTCTATTCTTTCAAAATCTCTCTTGAATGAAAATTAACAAGAAAATATCCACTCTTAAATCTGTTCTGAACGAAAACAAAAGATTATTTACACTTGAGAAATCTGTCCTGAGTCACGAGTGTGTGGTGTCTTTCCTTTGTGACTGTGACAAAAGAAATAATTTGGATCACTTCTTACGTCTGTGGCCCATTTTTCAACATGTCTTAAAATCAGAGAAGATTTTAACTCCTCGTGTGCACCGGCCTTTAGTTTCCTTTAATAAATTAGGTTTATTGGGTTACAAAAAAGGGGCTGCAGTTAAAATGAACCTGTACAGCTCTACCAAACAAAGTAAAGAAAGAATTGCCTCGTGCGTTTCCTGTCAGAACAGACCATGTGATTTATTTGCATCAGTTCATGAATATTGTGACAATGTGTGTGCATAAGTTAGAATAATCAGACTGGACGAGCGCTGAGATCATGAAAATTTACACAAAATCATCCGTCGTCTCAGCGTTTTTGATTTGTTCGGGCGCACGTGAGGGCTAAAGCGAGTGTTACGGCGCGGTGGAATAGCTGTCCTCTATTAAACACTAGAAAATGCCAGGAAAACATCAACGTGCAACTGTCAAGTTACTCCCGCAAGCGACAATGAAGGGCCTTATATCCTCTGAACTGTCACTCAGTCTACGGTTTGGTCACGTTTTCAAGGTTAAATGTTCATGACCGTGACACAAGCTTAAATAAAGCCGATATACAAACTAGGAAGACGTTTCAAAACATGCAATGACAACTTACGGCGGTCTCTGTTAGCGGGCATAAGTCTGACAAAATACGGTTATAGCGGTGGGTGATCTGGAGTGTTTTGGTGATCCAAGTGCACAACCAATCAGGAGCGAGGCTGTTTGTGCTCTCCCTTCCCCGATTCGCCAGACAGTAGGGCTGCGCGATATGGAGCAAAATGTGTATATCTCGATATACGATATATCGATATCTGTACAGGAAATATAACCCCCCCAAAAACTACTGCACAAACCAAGAGGTCAGCAGTTCATGTAGGAACAAAGTGCTTCTGCCACATTTAAGATTACATAAGTAATCACTTAACTGTAAAATTAAAGAAATAATACATAATACAATTCATTCATAAATAAAACGACTCAGCTCAAGCTCATCTTTGCATTAACTCTGTAACCGTACGATAACCATGAGCTCCTTCAGCAGAGGAAACTCGAGAGGTTCATTATTTTAACAGATCCATGTTCCTCACCAGCGTCAGGAGCTCTGAGGTTTAATCCCACAATCCACTGCAGATCAAACCCAACGTTTCCAAACACTATTGTACAAGTTATATATATATAAATAAACTTTACATTACTAAACTTTACAACATATAAACCATAACTATTACAAAAGTACATCAGTCTGTTTGACATAATGTGTTTAATGCAGTTTTGTGCAGATTTTACATTTTACAGAAACAAAACTTAAAAGTGCATGGCTAATTTGCATAAACGGCTCACTCCTTGTGTCGCTGATGCAGTTCCGCTTCTTTCGGAGCTGTGTGTTCTCTCTGTGACCGAGGATGTGCAGCTGATGGTTTTGTCTGTAAATGGTGGAAAAGGTTTGTGGTGCTAGAAGCTTTTCACTGGCACCAACTTTCAGCTTTCACGGCGATAGTGAATGAGACACAAGCAGCAAAACCAGGGAGGCGGAGCCACGCACAGAGAAGACAAACAAACAAGCAAAGCGGCAAAATCAGAATTGAATTGAATATAAACATATCGATATACAAGATGTCAGAATCCATATCGAGTTTTTAAAAATTCTCAATATATTTAAAATATCAAGATATCACCCACTCCTACCAGGCAGGCAAAATAATTTTGTAAAATATACCAAAAAAATACTCTTGGCAATGTATCGATACAGCAGCCCACGATATCGATACTGTATCAACACATTAAACGACACGATATATCGATATTTAAATTTTTGCACACTTCTAGTTTAGACACAATCTCTTATATATTTTTTGCTCCCAGGGGTTAAATATACAACATTTAATTTCTAGATCCTCCCTAAAAGTCTGTTCGTTTTAAATGTCATTTTTGTCTGGCTTTTTATTTCCATCTGTTTTTTGAAGTGCGTTTTTGCTTCTAGTCTGAACTGTCTTAAAGGTGCATTGCGTAACTTTTTTTTGGCCTGAGGATCCGTCAAACGTTTCTCTCCACAAAGACGTTATTGCTTTGACTGGAATGTTTCACAGTGTGGCATTAAACCTTTCCAGACCAGACCAAATTAGTTTTTCGAGGTTTTTTGAGCTATTAAAAAAAAAAAAAAAAAAAAACTTTAATAAATCTAAGTTAGAGCTGTTTTAAAGTCATACTGTGGAAAATTCCAGGCCGAACAATGACGTGTTTATGGAAACAAGCAGGTGACGGACCCCCAACCGTAAAGCCACACAGTGCACCTTTTTAAATATAAAGCGTAATTGTATTTTTCATAATTTCTTTCTCTTTTTTTTTTTTTTTTTTTGCAGAAAGACGCCCCTCCAGCCGAATGCAAGCAGCAGTGAAGCGAGCCGCTGCCTTGAGAATCTCCAACTTCTCTAAACGAAACAAAAAAAATTAAAAAAAACAACTTAAAAAATAGTTACTTACGCCTTATAATGTTTTGTATTTTTCTTGGTAGAGAATTTGAAGTAAAAAAAAAATGATTTCAAGATTTTTGTTATACGAAAACTCATGGTAACATACTGGGAGCTCCGGCTCGTATATAGTATTTTATTATTCTATATAGACTTGTTCCTCTCTTCTGTACAATAGAGACGTGCACTGCAAAAACACGGAGATGAAATGACTCAAGTTTAGAAAATTTGGCTTTTTGAGAAGTTTTGTCTCGGTTTATTTAAATTATTTGACTAAAATAATTTAAAATCTTGGTAAAATCTGCCGTTTGCTTTATTTTGGCTCAAATTTAAAGCTGAAAAACACAACTATACCTCCACCTGCTCGGCTCTGTGGACATTTTACCGCTTTGTTTATGTTCCGCAATATGGCATTTGGCTTTATCTCCGTGGAGACGAGCCGCTGACGCCGCCGGGGCCGAGTTAAAGGTCAGATCTGTGCAGAGGCGAGCCCACGCGCAGTAAGGACAGCACGTTTTCGAGGCGTTTTATCGGCGCTTAAAACGCCATAACTGAACAAATAGGGTTTCGAAGTTTAATGCCAGACTGCGGAACATTCCAGACGAGGCCATAACATCTCCGCGGTGAAGAGGAGGTGCGGAATTCCCATCAGAAAAGCCACAGAGTTCACCTTTTTAATGCGTTTTTTGATCATATTTTCCTGTCAAATCGGGTCAATTTTGCTGCGTAACTTTTCTGCTTTAGGGCCCATCGCCTGCTTGTTGCTATAGTTACCTCGTTGTTGAGCCTGGAATGTTCCGCAGTGTGACTTAAACACCTCTAGTTTACATTTATTCAATTCGAAGTGGTTTTAAAGCTCAAAAACGCTTACAAAATCGCAAAAAATTCTAACTTTGCGTCGTCGTCTCAACGCAGATCTGACCCACAACTTGGTTTCCACGACGATAAAGGTTTAATGCCATACTGCGGAACATTCCAGACGAGACCATAACATCTCTGCGGTGAAGAGGAGGCGCGAAATTCCCGTCAGAAAAGCCGCAGAGTTCACCTTTTTAAATCAATTTTTCATCGCATTTTCGTGTCAAATCGGGTCAATTTCGCTGCGTAACTTTTCTCGTTTTGGTTCCGTCGCCTGCCTGTTGCTATGGAGACGTCATTGCTCAGCCTGGAATGTTCCGCACTGTGACATTAAACACCTCTGGTTTACGTTTATTCGATTCGAAGCGGTTTTAAAGCTCAAAAACGCCTAGAAAAACGCAAAAATTCTGACCGTGCGGCGTCGCCTCAACGCAAATCTGACCCGCAACTTTGGTTTCCACGACGATAGAAAGGTTTAATGCCATACTGCGGAACGTTCCAGACAAAGCGATAAGTCGTAATACCACGGAGAAAAGCGTTTGATGGATCCTCGGCCAAAAAAAGTTGCACAGTGCAGCTTTATAAATCAGAACTGGCCAAAACTGCTGTAAAACGGTCGAACGTTCTGAATTTGAGTCGTTTTAATCGCGTTTCCGTGTTTTTTCTTTGCAGTGCAGGGGGCAAAAGCATGAACTACTATCACTGCTAAAACTAGTTTGGGTTCTCGTGAAGTCTTTTGTTGTTTTTGATCTTAGACAACAGCTGTTAGCTCGAATGCTACGTGGCTTAAAATTTAAGAATTCAAAACCGGTCATTCCTGAACCCGGGATCGTCCTGTGCGACCATCTCATATTCCCACTTTCACTTTCACTTTGACGTGTTTAAAATCGGTTATTGCATTGTTATTCCGATGTTATTACACTATTAAAAGTATTACAATGGTTTTCTCGTATCTGAAAGTACCAAATTTAAGCTTTTTTTTGGAGCGTTTCTTGTAGCATTTCCATTAAAGGGACCCGTTACTCAGTTATTTGGTCACTTCCTTTGGTTGATTTTTGTTTTACTTTCCAAACTTTAAGACATTCCAGTGACTAAAACTGGCATCGACACTTGGAAATTTCAGATTTTTAGACCACACGGTGAAAAAAATATGTGCGATCTTTCAAAAATGAATGTTAAATAAAATAAAAATACAGTTCTTTCGGTGGATTTTGAACAGAATTTGAACTGCCTCGGTCTCGTTTTTTTCTGAGAATTTTCGACATCTTTTCTATTTCTGTTAACGGTTCTATAGAAATCTGCTTGAAGACTCTGTACCTGATTTTTTTTTACAATTTTTAAAAACAGTTTGCAGTGGTTTAAAGTTATTTCTAAGTTACTTTACGCCAGGGATCTCCGAACTTTTTCTTCTGCTGAGTTTTCTTTTATGAAATGAAAATGTCAGTGAGCTACAAAAGACATCGAGAAAGTAGAAGAAGCTTTATCGAGAAGGTCCAGTTAGATGCCTATGAAATATAAACCATTATCTATTTATTTGTGTACAAGTTAGGCATCAAAATTACACATTTACGATGATAATTACTGTGTTTTTTGGACTATAAGTCGCACCAGCCAAAAAATGCGTAATGAAGAAGAAAAAAAAACACAAGTCGCACTTTTGGGGCAAATTTGACACCAGGAACCGACATTTCATCTCAAGTTCTAGTAAAAACAATAGAAGAGAAAACAACAGACTGTTAACGTCACATATGAACAGTTCTTCAGATAAACTATAACATAAACAACAGAACAGAACAAGTTTAACAAACTCTCCATCTCACTCCAAATCACTAAATCCATTCAGTTCTTCATCCTCGGTGTCACTTCTGAACAACTCCACGACCTCCGGAGGTTCTTAGAATTATTCCGGCTTTTCTGAATCCCGACAGGATGGTTTCGGTGTCACTGAAGTCCAGACTTTGTCCATCCATCCAGTGACTTCAGGAAAGTTTCACGGTGCATCCTCCATGTTACCGTGAAGCTGTGTTCCTGTCAGTCCCTCACAAGTTTCTCGCTCACTCCAAACTTTCTTTCCGCTGCTCGATTACAGTTTTCGACTGAATATTTCAGGACTTGCAGGAGACATGTGCAGTAGAGCGAAGTGACAGTGGTTCAGGAGGAACAGGAGCAGCAGATACTCGACACACAAGACTAGAACCTCTCCACACTTCACCATGAAAATTTTAATGTAAAGTCGCAGGAAACGCCCAAACCACGAAAAAAAGTGCGACTTAAAGACCAAAAAATACAGTAATCAGATTATATTTATTAAACGCAATGCATAGAATTCAGAAAACCTTTGGCGAGACTCCTGCCTTATGGATTCAGAGCGTCCTAATTATTCACCGCAATGAGTTTTTTTTTTCCTGCAAATTTCTGATTCTTGGACAATAAAACGCTTTATAATTGGATGCAGAAGGTAAACAGCGGACTTATATCGCCCTCAAGAGCTGCTGAATTAGATTTTTAACAGTTTTATAAATGTGAAAAACCAAACTGGACGACCACAAACTGTTTTAGATGAACTAAAGTGATTCCTCATTTTACCTTTTGCGTTCAGAGCGTCCTAATTATTCACCACAATAAGTATTTTCGCAACTAACCGTACACTTTCTGATTCTTGGACAATAAAACGCTTTATAATTGGATGCAGAAGGTAAACAGCGGACTTATATCGTCCTCAAGAGCTGCTGAATCTGATTTTTTACAGTTTTATGAATGTGAAAAACCAAACTAGTTGATTTAAAACAGTTTGCGATCGTCCGAAGTGATTCCTCATTTACCTTTTACGTTCAGAGCGTCCTAATTATTCAGTATTTTCTCAACTAACCATGCACTTTCTGATACTAGCACCATAAAAAGCTTTAATTGTATGATTTATTTTCACCTCAAAAGCTGCTTAAACTATAAATCTGTGCTGGGTTAGTCATATTTTTCTCAAAAACGAGGGAAGAAAATCAGGTACAGAGCCTTTTTTTTTTTTAAATTTCCTTAAAAAAATCTTTAATCCTACACATTTTGAAAGCTGCACATGCTTTTTTTACACTCGGTCTAATCATTTTTGACTCGCTGGAATACATTTCGAGGTTTGGAAACTTCCATCGGAGATTATTTGGAGAGATTCATGTCGAACTCCTGAAGGTTAAATGAGACTCAAGTCTGTTTTCTATGGCACTTTGTACACCTGTGTAACTGTCCAGTAGGTGGCGTCGTTTCGCAGCAGAACCTCCGATATTCCTGCACTTTTTTTTTTTTTTTTGTCTTTCGTGACCATAGATTTTTTAAAAGTCTCCACGTCTACGGGAAGCACAAACGGCCTGAATTAAGAAAAAGGCTTCGAGTGAACAGGGTCGGGTTCCACTTACAAACATGAGAAATTTGACATGTACATTTTCCATCGATGTGTGATTTCTAAAACAAAATTAAAAATAAGCTTCAAATATTAAACTCCTTTTGTTTCTGTTTTAATACTTGTGTAGGAAAATAAATAAAAAAATCATGGACAAAACTAAAAATAAAATGGGTTTGGAAAAAACGTTGAAGATGAAAATGAAAACTGAAAATTGAATTAATTTACTTTTAAACAAAAATGAGACAAAACTGATCCAAAAGTCTAAAGATTCACTGTGTAACATTTCTGGTGGAGGGTCAGTCAACATCTTCTCTCCATGGGGATGTTGCCTGGAATGTTCCACAGTATGGCATTACACTTATCCATCAAATCTTTTTTTTTGTCTTTCATGTCAATTAAAAAGGAAAGAAAAATGTGAAAAAATAGCTAAATTAATTTCTACAACTCTTATATACTCTAAAAATGCTTGTTTATATATATATTTAGATTTTTTATTTTTTTATTTTATTTTTTTGGTCTTTCACATCAATTATAAAGCCTCTTTGACTTGGGACTTGACTCGGACTTGAGGCCTGTAACTTGAAGCATTTTTAAATCATTTTTTTCTTTTCTGACCATAATGATTCACACCAACATCTTGTCAGTACATTTAAACAAGAAAAATGAGCTAAATTAATTTCTACAAATCTTATAAACTCTATAAATACTTGTATATAAATATATTCAGATTTTTTTATTTAATTATTTATTTTATTTTAATTTTTTTTGTCTTTCACGTCAATTAAAAATGAAAAAGAAAACTAAGAAAAGAACTCATATCCAAAAAATCTGTATATCTATGATATTTATAAAGTACAATTTAGTTTAAAATTCATAAAAATGGCAAAAATCTAAGCTATATCTGGTATTTTGGTTTGAAGACTTGAAATGAATTGAAGCTCAAAGCAGACGACTTGGACTTGACTTGGACTTATGGGCCAGTGACTCGAGACTCGACTTGGACTTGCCTGTGTTTGACTTGGGACTTGACTCGGACTTGAGGCCTGTGACTTGAGAAGCACTTTTAAATTTAAATTCCTTCTATTCTGACTGTAATAATTCACACTAAAATCTTGTCAAGACATTTAAAAAATGAAAAATTAACTAAATTAATTTCTACAACTATTATATACTCTATAAATACTCACATAAATACACTTTTTTTTTTTTTTTTTTAAGTACAATTCATCTTAAAAGTAACATAAATTGCAAAAATCTAAGCTATATTTGGTATTTTGCTTTGAGCTTCAAGTCATTTCAAGTCTTTAAACCAGACGACTTGGACTTGACTTGGATTTACGGGACAGTGACTCGAGACTTGACTTGGACTTGCCTCTTTTTGACTTGGGACTTGACTCAGACTTGAGCCCAAAGACTTGAGACTTGCAAAACAACGACTTGGTCCCACCTCTGCCGATACCGGAACCCGCAATTTGACCGATATCTGATTCAAATATTGTAGTAAAATATCGTCACAATCTTGTTCAATTTAAGTTTAAGTTGTGAAATAAAACTTGGTCTAAAAACTGGCAAATCTTAACCACTGAAGTTCTTACTGTATTTTGGGTTTTGGAATAAAATAAATTTAAAAAAATTATAACGAAAGCTGTAAAAAAAACGTAACGATTTGAATGGAAAACGTACATGTACAATTTCACTTTAAAGCTGCACTGTGTAACTTTTCTAACGGAGGGTTTCGCCACCTGCTCGTCTCCATGGAAACACTAACGCTTCACCCACAGTTTGACGTTAAAGTTATCCAACAATTCACCGTTTTTTGTAGTTTTCACATCTCCGTGGAGACGAGCGAGTGACAGAACCGTCTGCTGCAAAAAAAAAAGTTCCACAGTGCGTCTTTTTTTTTTTTATTATTATTTATTTTTTTAATAATTGGCTGGTTTTGAGTGGAGAGCCGTCGTAGCACAGATGACCCGGTAACTCCCCGTTTTTCTAATTAATACCTCTCCTCCTCCTTTTGAAACGTACCTCAGCCTTTTCCCCGTCGACTCCAATCACTGTGACAAGCACCGGTTTCAAAATAAAAGCATGTCTGAGCAATACGTCTGAAGGCTGTTCCCGCTGCCTTTTATTGTGAAGGGCCGCGCAGTCCCGGAAATGCACTGTGATTTAAACTTTAACGTAAAGAATAGTTGTGTTTATTGGAACGGTGAAAGACGATGACAAAAATCTAAAAAAAATATTAAATATTGATTTTTGAACATTTTTGATAAGTTTGATTTTTTTTTTTTAAATGATGCTTTATCTCAAAGTTGCACTATAACTTTTCAGTTGTGGGTCCGTCACCTGGTTGTTTCCATGGATACGTCATCACTTTGCCTGGAATGTTCCACAGTGTGACTTTAAACAGCTCTACTTTACATTTATTCAATTACAGGTGGTTTTATTGCTCAAAAATCTCGAAAAACATCTTGGAAAAACCGGCGTTCTGACTGTGAGCGGGGTCGGCTCTCCACAGATCTGACCTGTAACTTGGTTTCGTTTTGGTCTCCATGGAGACCAAACCATGCATTCATTTGTTTTTCAATATATAACCAAAAATAAGAAAACGAAAAAATGATTTTCTTCATTATTTGTCTCCAAAACCAAAATGAAAAAACAGATGATTCGTTTTTTCAGTTTTCGATTTTGTGATTAAATTAATAATGAAAAAATTAATAACGACTGTTTCTTGTTTCTGTGACTTAAACTGTGATGCCGGACTGAACCAGGACTAAAACAGAACTAAACTGTTTTCAGTCCCGGTCCTGGTCTCAGTCCCAATCTCAGTCCCGGTCCTGGTTTAGTCTTGTTTCAGTCCGTATGTGGTGCAAAAGTCCAGCATTGCAGTTTAACTCATGAAAACAGGAAATGGTCGTTATCCTTTTTTCCATTTTTCATTTAAACACAAAATTAAACACTGAAAAAATGAATCACTCATTTTGGTTTTGGAGACAAATAATGAAGATTTTTAAATTTTCTTATTTTTGGTTTTATATTGAAAAACAAATGAACAATTGACACACAGATCTGTAATGTCTTTAATCTTTAACTGTGGAACATTCCAGGCAGAGTGACGACGTATCCATAGAAACGAGCAGGTGACTGACCCTCCGGCGCCTTTGACCAGTGCATTTCTGAGGCTGCGTGGCCCCGTCGCCTCCACCCGCCTGCGCGTTCGTCCACAGGTACCGACTCTCGAGACCGCGGGAGCACGGAGACGACTGTAGGGATTTAAAGAGACCTGCGGGGGGCGCTGTCCAGACCTGCAGGGGGCGCTGTCGAGGCCCTGCAGGGGGCGCTGTCCAGACCCTGCAGGGGCGCTGTCCAGACCTGCAGGGGGCGCTGTCCAGACCTGCAGGGGGCGCTGTGGCCTCCTCGCCCTGAGCAGCTGTTGTCCAAGCGAAATGCTCGGCTCCTAAATACTGTTGTACTCTAACTGTGTGTGTTCATCAATAAACTCAGTAAACACGGACCCCACGGCCTCATCTCACTTTGTTACCTTTTTAAAACCCTCACGTTCTCCTCGGGGTCACATTGACCCGATTTTTTAATTTTTTTTCCCGCTCTCTTGGGGCGAGGCAATCAGACCCAAAAAATTATTTTCAAATAAATTCTCGCCAGGCGAGACTGACTGACCTGCCCCAAGGGAGCGGGAAAGAAAAAAAACAATCTTGGGGTCAATGTGACCCCGAGGAGAGTGAGGAATAAAGCTGTAGTGTGGAGCTTTTCAGTTCACAGGTCTTGTTGCTCCTCCCTGGAATGTCCCTCAGTGTGGCATTACATTTTATATTCTGTCTTGTATTTTATAAACCCAAAACATGCTCCAGGTCCATGAACAGTTGACAGTCAAGGTCAATTAAATGCAATCAATTCAGTCATTGTGTCCTTAGGCAAGACACTTCACCCACATCGCCTAGTATGAAAGTGGTGTGTGTGTGTGTGTGTGTGTGTGTGTGTGTGTGTGTGTGTGTGTGTGTGTGTGTGTGTGTGTGTGTGTGTGTGTGTGTGAGAGAGTGTGTGTGTGTGTGAGTGTGTGAGTGTGTGTGTGTGTGTGTGTGTGTGTGTGTGTGTGTGTGTGAGTAGTGGTGGTGGTCGGAGGAACCAATGGCGACCGATTGGCATGGCAGCTGCGCTGCTGTCAGTCTGCCCCAGGGCAGCTGTGACTACAATAGTGTCTCAGTGAGTGAATAATGTTCTGTAAAGTGTCTTTGGGGACAGAAAATGTCTGTGAAAAGCGTTGTATAAATAAAAAAGACTTACTTACTATTTAATCAGTTGTTGAAAATATGAGTGGAAGGATGTACAGTAGTGTTGCTGTGGGAACGGTCGCCTTTCCACAGATCTGACCTGTCTCTGTGAAATTTAATGCCACACTGTGTAACATTTCAAGCAAAACAATAACTTCTTCATGGAGACAAGGAGGTAGCGTACAAATACATGTACCATTCGTTTTTCAAAAAAACCCAAAAATACCAGAACTAAACCAGTTTAGACCTTGTGGTTTTATCTGAAATGTTGTGGCATTAAATTCCATGGAGACAGATCACATACAGGTCAGATCTGTGGAAAGGCGACAGTCTATTTTACTAGAATATTCTCTATAGTTTGGCATAAAGCAGGTGATGGAACGAGCAAGTTACAAGTCAGATCTGTGTTTTTTTTTTTAGCTTAATTTATATTTATATGTGAATTATAAATATTTAAATGTACTATTAACTTAATATTTAAATGTTTAATACAAATATATGTCTGTCATTCTGCAGTAACTCTGCGGGTCACATCTGTTAGTTTACAGATGTTTGGACAGTTGATTTGGTTTCCTGTCAGTAGATGGCGCTGTTGCTCTGATAAAAACCCCAGACAAACTGATGTAGAAAAGCAGCGCGCTGGACATGACTTAAATACAAATAATCAAAAGACACAACGGGACTTTTCGAGACGTTTTGGAAATACGGGACGCTTCGGGCACGTGTAGAGCGTGTAGAGGTTACATCTGGAGGAGAGGAGGATGATGGGACTGAAGCACGTGGGGCTGACGTGAGGAGGTGCGGAGGAGTCACAGCTCAGAGGACTGAAGGAGCTCGTGGTGATTCCTGTCGGGACTGTACCGTGTGTCCTGTAGTGTGTTTGTGCGCGTGCGGCGTGCGTAACGTGCCCGTGTGGACGTACGTGTATTGACTCGTTGAACACGAGAGCGTCACGGGGGGCACAGACTGTAGGTGGAGGCTGCGCGCGCGGGGGGCGGGCCTCGCAGACCCCTCCCCCTCCCTCACAGACGCACAGACGCACAGAAGGCTCCAGATCCAGACGCAGCCGCACGCGCCGCTGTCCGCGCCAGCCGCACGAGCCGCACGAGCTGCAGGGTCTGTCCAGTGGGTGTGCGCGTGAGAGCTGTGCCGGGGCGCGTGGCCATGCTGGAGAGCGGGCGGAAGGTGCTGAAGGAGGGGCTGCTGGAGAAGCGCAGCGACGGACTCCTGCAGCTGTGGAAGAAGAAGCGGTGCGCGCTCACGGAGGACGGCGTGCTCCTGCTGCCGCCCAAACAGCACGAGCCCTCCCAGCCGCCGCACGCGCACCGGGACTCGGCCAAAGTCAAAGAGCTGCACTTCGCCAACATGAAGACCGTGGACTGCGTGGAGCGCAAGGGGAAGTACGTGTACTTCACCGTGGTGATGGCGGAGGGCAAAGAGATCGACTTCAGGTGCCCGCAGGACGAGGGCTGGAACGCGCAGATCACGCTGCAGATGGTGCAGTACAAGAACAGACAGGCCATCCTCGCGGTGCGCTCCACGCGCCAGAAGCAGCAGCTGCTCGTGGTGCACGTCCCCGGGCAGAAGACGCTCCGCAGCGCGCCCAACGTGGCGTGAGCGAGCCCCGGACACGAGCCTCGTCTGCGGTAAGAAAACAACACACGGGTCACTCTACGCACGCGCCGTGCACGCGCCGTGCACGCACTGTGCACGGGGGACTGTGCACTGGTCCCGGGTCTAAGCCCCGGGTCCCGGTCCGGTCAGAGCCGGGTCCGTCTGTGAGCGCAGGTCAGACCCGGTGGTCCGCGCGTGGCGGATGCTGTAGTAACGGTGTAGTAGAGTCCACGCGCTCAGAGGCTCCTGTGTCTTCAGTGTTTCCTCCCGCACGGGGCCCGCATGTCAGTTTAGTGTTTCAGCTCATTTTGGTTCGGTACCTGCTGACCAGAGCGGGTCCTGCTGACCAGAGCGGGTCCTGCTGACCTGAGTGTCTCCTGTGACCTGGTGCGGTTCATTTAAGGCTGTTTCCTCCGTTCGTGGTGAGGAGATATTTTAGAGCAGCTCAGAGTCAAACACAAACCCCGAGCTTGAACTGAGGCTTTTTCAAACACGAGCTCCGTGTTTATTCATGTTTTATTCTTAGACTGCGGGACAAATATATTTAGACTCAGTGAAGCCTGTTTAACCTCAAATCCTCACAGACCCGGACACAGACCCGCACCCGCACCAGAGGACCCGCACCCGGACCAGAGGCTGGAGATAGAAGAGTCTGTAAGTGAGTCTATAGTTATAAGAGTAGTTCTAGTTCAGTGAGTATATAGTTGTAAGTGTCTGTAGTTCTAGTGGTTGTGTGCTTCTAGGGAGAGTGTACAGTTGTTGGGAGGTTGTGCAGTTCTAGAGGGTGTGTGTATATTTAGCGGTTGTGGCTCTTGGCTCTTGGCTCTTGGCTCTTGTGGCTCTTGTGGCTCTTGGCTCTTGTGGCTCTTGTCGCTGTAACTGAGCCCAACAGGAAATATTAACCAGCGTGAGCTCGTGTGAATGTGACAGCGGAGGATCTATTCTTAAACATGACATCAGGAAAACTGACAGAGACAGAGAGAGAGAGAGAGAGAGAGAGAGAGAGAGAGAGAGAGAGAGTGTGGGAGAGAGAGAGAGACAGAGGGAGAGAGAGAGAGAGAGAGTGTGGGAGAGAGAGAGAGAGAGAGAGAGAGAGAGAGAGAGAGAGAGACAGAGAGAGAGAGAGAGAGAGAGAGTGGGGAGAGAGAGAGAGAGAGTGTGGGAGAGAGAGGAGAGAGGGGGAGAGGAGGGAGGGAGAGGGGGGGGGGAGACAGAGGGAGGAGGAGAAGGAAAAAGGGAGAGACAGAGAGAGGAAGAGGAGGAGGACTAGAGAAGGAGAGACGGAAAGAGAGAGAGAGAAGAAGGAGAAACAGAGAGGGAGAAAGAGAGAGGAGGAAAGAGAGAGACAGAGAAAGGGAGATAGAGGAGGAGGAGAAGGAGAGACAGAAAAAGAGAGAGCGAGAGAGAGGAGGAGGATAAGAAGAAAGAGAGAGAGGAGGAGGAGGATCAGAGAAGGAGAGATGGAAAGAGAGAGGAGAAGGAGAAAGAGAGAGAGAGGAGGAGGAGAAGGAGAAACAGAGAGAGAGAGGAGGACAGAGAGAGACAGAGAAGAGGGAGAGGGAGGAGGAGGAGAGGAGAGAGAGAGAGAGAGAGAGGAGGAAGAGGAGGAGTAGAGAAGGAGAGATGGAAAGAGAGAGGAGAGGAGAAGAGAGAGAGAGAGAGGAGGAGGAGAGAAGAGAGAGAGAGGAGGAGAGAGGAGAAGGAGAAACCGAGAGAGAGAGAGGAGGACAGAGAGAGACAGAGAAAGAGGGAGAGGGAAGAGGAGGAGAAGGAGAGACGGAGAAAGAGGGGGAGAGGGAAAGAGGAGGAGAGAGAGGCAGAGAGAGAGATGGGAGGAGAGATAGAGAGGGAAAGAGTTAGAGAGAAAGAGGGAGAGGGCAACAGAGAGAGAGAGATAGAGAGGCAGGAAGAGGAAGAGGGAGGGAGAGAGAAAGAGACAAGGAGGGAGACAGAGAGGGAGGGGAAGAGAGAGACTAGGAAGAAGAGCAAGAGAAGGAGAGAGAGAGCGATAAAAAGAGAGAGGTAGTGATGCTATTTCTTCTATTGTGCCCACTCAGTGCAGCTCTTTGGAGACATTGTGTTGGTAAAATGTGCAATACAAATAAAGTTGGATTGGACAGAGAGCATAAAAGAGGGAGAGAGGGATGGAGAGAGGGAGGGATGGAGAGAGAGAGAGAGTTTCATGGACAGTCCGGGTAATTACAGAGACATGAACCTAAACCAGGTCAACAAATCTGCAACCTGACAGTTCCACAGCAAACAGTCCTGACCTGTTCTCAGCCTCGATATTAAAGCAGAAATGTTCAACGAAATGGACTTTTCAGAGTTTTTAACCGTGTCAGATCAGTTTCACTTCTCATTTAACCTTTCAGAGTTGTATTTGCAGTGATTCGTGCCTGTTTGAATCATCTTTAATCACGTATTTTCAACAACAACTCCTGTTTTCAGCTCCACTCGTACACGCTCACTGTGATTCTTTCTCTGGTTTTATGTTCTTAATCGTTGTTGTTATGACATTTACAGTCCTGTCACACCTTGATGATTTATCCAGCGTATGCCAACGTACCAGAACTTCCCTAAAACGCTGACATACGCTGAACTATCGATGTGTTTTTTTCAATTTTGGGCATATACATAGAGTATTTATAAAGGATTGGATGTATACATAATACATTAGTAACTTATATAGAACGTTTTGATCACTTATACCAACTAATGCTTAGTGTGTTACCGGCGTCCACAGCTTATGCCCAATGACGTCTAATTTATGCACAGCGCACGACAGCGTATCACCGATGCTCATGTGCCGCTCGACGATTCTTAAGTGCACTGGACGTCGCAGTAGCAACATTAATCAGAGTGATCTCTTCTTCTCGTGGTTCTACTGGCACGTGACTGGTACAGTGACAAATCAATGAGATTATGCTGATGTTGGAGGACAGCTAGTGTGTATACTCCTCTCAGCCTCACCAGATCCTCCATCTTTCGGATGATTTGTGTAGCGGGTGGTACCTCGGGGTCTGCTCACCAAGAAGTCTGGAGCTGGACTGACAGTTTCCATCCATCCATTTTCTTCCTCTTATCCGGAGCCAGGTCACGGGGGCAGCAGTCTAAGCACGGACTCCCAGACTTTTTTCATCCCAGACACTTTCTCCATCTCCTCCAGGGGGACCCAGAGGTGTTCCCAGGCCAGCCCAGACATAGTCCCTCCAGTGTGTCCTGGTCTTCCCCGGGGCCTCCTCCCGGTGGGACATGTCCAGAACACCTCCCGAGGCAGACGTTCAGGAGGCATCAGAACAGATGCCCGAGCCTCAACTGACTCCTGTCGACATGAAGGATCCGCGATCTCGTCCTTTCGGTCATTACCCAGAGCTCATGACCTTAGGTGAGGGGAGGAACATAGATTGACTGTAAATCGAGAGCTTCGCCTTTTGGCTCAGCTCCCTCTTCACCACAACGGTCTGATACAGCGACCGCATCACTGCCGACACTAGGGCTGTAGCGATAACCGCAAAAATGAATCACCGTGGTACTAAGAGGCCCACCGCGGTACATGATGGGCCACCGTGATCACCACATGTGACCAACATGACCTGACCCAGAGTCCCACACACATCCATTTTTAGAGACGTGCACACGCCCGGACCTGTTAACATTCCACCTGTTGCCGCCCGTGCCTGTGATAACCCAGGACCAACCCAGGACCAAGGTGCTAGAGGTGAGATCGGGCCTAAAAAATCCAGCCGACCCGACCCGGCCCGCGGGTATTAAAACCCGACCCGGCCCGAGCCCGACCAATTAACTTGATTTGCAGGCCCGAGCCTGAAGCAAACCCGAAATGTCATATTTTATTTGTGAGGACTCGGGAGGAGGAGCAGTGCTCAGCGTCGAGGTGCCAGTCTTTTTGCTCTCGTATGAAAGCAAAGCGCCACATTGACGACATTCAGCGAAGCCAACGCAAGTTTCTGTAGCATTTTCAACAATCAATTTGAAGCTTTTTCCACACCTCACTCTTACCGGTGCGTGTTTGTCTTTTCAGTTCTCCTGCCTTTAGTTTAACTTCTTGCTCCTCCATATTGGGGACACCAGGTCAAAATAGATGCAGACTTGCGGAGGGAAGATGATTAAATGAAGAGGGGGCGTTCACGTGCGCAGAGCTCTGGCTCTGCGGATCCTGTTTAGTAGTTAAATAGCAATTACATTACATTACTTCTCTGTTTTATCCATATTATTTATTTTATAACAAATATTCCTTAGTTTAGTATCCACACATCGTTTTAGCATACATTTTATAAACATATATTTATTTGAAGCCCGAGCCCGACCCGACCCGAAGTAATGATTGACAATTCGGGTCGGGTCGGGCTTGGGCTCGGTCTTAAGATCTTACCTCTACAAGGTGCGCCACGTAGACCGTCGGGTGACCGCAGGCGAAAGGACCGGTGCAGAGCTCCGCCCTGCAGGGAGTTAAGTGTGGCCGTCGCCCGATTGCGCTTTGCGGACAACTGCTCTGCGTGGTCGTGCTAGGCGCTCCCACTCTTAAGTCCGCGGGGACCCGAGCCGATGCCAGACTCTGACCCGACCTGGAGCAGGACTCTGACCCGAGCTGCCACAGTGAGAGCTGGAGAGATGCAGCAGCACTTGTTCCAAAGCCAAATGTTACTTCTCCCAGTACACACACACTACACACAGTACACACAGTACACACACTACACACACTACACACTACACACTACACACACTACACACACACTACACACACTACACACACTACACACACTACACACACTACACACACTACACACACTACACACACTACACACACACTACACACACTACACACACTACACACACTACACACACTACACACACTACACACACTACACACACTACACACACACACACACACTACACACACTACACACACTACACACACGCACACACACACACTACACACACTACACACACTACACACACTACACACACTGCACACACTACACACTACACACACTACACACACTACACACACTACACACACTACACACACACTACACACACTGCACACACTACACACTACACACTACACACTACACACACTACACACACACACACTACACACACTACACACACTACACACACTACACACACTACACACACTACACACACTACACACACTACACACACTACACACACTACACACACTACACACACTACACACACTACACACACTACACACACTACACACACTACACACTACACACACACACACACACACACACACACACTACACACACACTACACACACTACACACACTACACTACACACACACACACTACACACACACACACTACACACACTACACACACTGCACACACTACACACACTACACACACTACACACTACACACACTACACACACTACACACACTACACACACTACACACACTACACACACTACACACACTACACACACTACACACACTACACACACTACACACACACACACTACACACACTACACACACTGCACACACTACACACTACACACACTACACACACTACACACTACACACACTACACACACTGCACACACTACACACACTGCACACACTACACACACACACACTACACACACTACACACTACACACACACACTACACACACTACACACACTACACACACTGCACACACTGCACACACTACACACACTACACACACACACACACTACACACTACACACTACACACACTACACACACTACACACACTACACACACACACACTACACACACTACACACACACACTACACACACTACACACACACACTACACACTACACACTACACACACTACACACACACTACACACACTACACACACACACTACACACACTACACACTACACACACTACACACACTACACACACTACACACACACACTACACACACTACACACACTACACACACACTACACACACTACACACACACACACACACTACACACACTACACACACTACACACACTACACACACTACACACACTACACACACTACACACACTACACACACACACACTACACACACTACACACACTACACACACTACACACACTACACACACTACACACACTACACACTACACACACACACACTACACACACTACACACACTACACACACTACACACACTACACACACTACACACACTACACACACTACACACACTATATCCACACGACAACCAAAGTACATGTGCATCTGTCATCTGAGACAGTTTTCAGAGCCGCTGTAAATATTATAACTCCGGGGGATGTGGGGTGGGGGGGAGTGCGATATCACCTCATACCGCTTCACCGTGCGCATAACTTATACAAAACTGACATACGGCAGCGTATTTGCCAAATTTTTCATACGTCAGCAAACGCTGGTGAAATCGTCAAGGTGTGAAGCCCCTTTACGTTGACATCAGCTCCCACTGGACACCACAGTTTTCTAACACAAAGTCAGCGCCCTTGTTTCTTTTATGAAGTCGTTTTAGATCAATTTCGCAAATTATAATGGGATGATCCACGGGTGTCATAGATCATAATTACAGAGTGCACACAAACAAGTCTACGTTAAACTAGTCTGGATTCCATTAACTATATTTATCTATTTTTTTCTCTTTCCTTTTTCAGATGTCTGGACTCGCGGCTGCCGTCTGAACTTGGATTCTGGAACATTTTTTGTCTCTGCGTCTCCATGGTAACCTCATTCAGAGACTATCACAGCGGACACACAGACTGAGCATGTGCGAAAAAAAGCCACTCCTCCGCGGATGGACTCAAACTTTATTTATTAGATGTACATATATTTTTTAACCTGTCGTCGTCATTGAATGTGTCCCGTGCGTTTTTTGGATCGTAGCCCGTGTCTCTACAGAGGACCCGACTGGGATCAGAACTATTTCGTTTCACTGCAAAAAAGAAATATCTGTAAGTGTTAAAGGAGCACTGTGTAACTTTTTTTTTTTGCGTTTGCGTATTACTCGGAATATGCGTGTTAGAACCTCCAACAAAGTCACATAGTGCGCCTTTTAAAAATGACTTGAATTTTAGGGTGTCATTTGAGTTTGGATTGTCGACTGTTGTTGTGTCCTCGGGCAAGACACTTCTCCCTTTCTGTCACTACGAACAAAAGTGTTTGTTTGGAGAGGCAGTTGTGGCTAAAAAAGTTTGTTTGGGATCGCCCCCCACAAACCTGCCATTATAAATTCCATTATAAATTTATAGTTTAGAGTCCTTTGATTTAAATTTCAACTCTATGGGAGATTCACTGTTTTTGGAAGGAATCTCCAAACTGAAAATCCATAAATGTCGAACCTTCTCATTATTTGTTTGAGATCGGCTCCACAAACCTGCCATTATAAATATAACTCTACGGGAGATTCACTGTTTTTGAAAGGAGTCCCCAAGCTGAAAATCCACAAATGTTGAACCTTCTCATTATTTGTTTGGGATTAGCTCCACAAACCTGCCATTATAAATTTACATTTTAGAGTCCTTTCAACTGACAACAAACCACTTTTTGAACTCTGAAAAAATTATATATGGATTTAAATTTCAACTCTATCTGAGATTTGATGAAAATCCACAAATGTTGAACCTTCTCATTATTTGTTTGAGATCGGCTCCACAAACCTGCCATTATAAATATAAGTCTACGGGAGATTCACTGTTTTTGAAAGGAATCCCCAAACTGAAAATCCACAAATGTTGAACCTTCTCATTATTTGTTTGGGATCAGCTCCATAAACCTGCCATTATAAATTTATGGTTTAAAGTCTTTTCAGCTAAATCACTTTTTGAAGGCTGAAAAATATAGATATGGATTTAAATTCCATTATAACTCCATGGGAGATTAACTGTTTTTGATAGGAATCTCCAAACTGAAAATCTACAAATGTTGAACTTTCTCATTATTTGTTTGGGATTTGCTCCACAAACCTGTCATTATAAATTTATGGTTTAACATTCTTTCTACGGACAACAAAACACTTTTTGAAGGCTGAAAAAAAAAGGATTAAAATTTCAGATATAACCATGGGAGATTCAATATTTTTGGAAGGAATCCCCAAACTGAAAATCCACAAATGTTGAACTTTCTCATTATTTGTTTGGGATTAGCTCCATAAATCTCCCATTATAAATTTACGGTTTAGAGTCCTTTCAACTGACAACAAACCACTTTTTGAAGGCTGAAAAAAAAAGGATTAAAATTTCAGATATTAACTCTACGGGAGATTCAATGTTTTTGGATTAATCTCCAAGCTGAAAATCCAGAAATCCACAAGAGATCAGCTCCATTAACCTTCTATTATAAATTTTTGGTTTAAAGTCCTTTCAATTGACAAACCACTTTTTGAAGGCTGAAAAAAAAAAAAAAAAAAAAGATTAAATTTCTGATATAACTATGGGAGATTCAATATTTTTGGAAGGAATCTCCAAACTGAAAATCCAGAAATCCACAAGATCAACCCCATAAACCTGCCATTATAAATTTACAGTTTAAAGCCCTTTCAACTGACAACACTTTTGCTTAGTTGTATGAAAAATGCCACCACTTTTTGAAGCTATAGCTAAACAATAATTTCACTTTTGCTTATTTATACGGACAGAGAAGACGCCGAACCCATAAACCAGGTCTATAAATCTTAAAATCTCACAATTACACTGGAAAGTCCACCTGCGAATTCTGACCTGTCCTCCATTTTAAAAGTGCACTGCGTGACATTTCTAGTCGAGCGTTTGCCACCTGCTCGTCTCCATGGAAACGTTATTGCTATATGTAGAATGTTTCACAGTACACAACGAGTCACAGATGGAATTCCAGTATTTTCTGAGCAATAGAAACACCTTTAATCAATAAACGTTGGATGGAAATGTTTAATGTCATGCCACGGAACATTCTAGGTAAAGCAATAACATTTCCACGAGAAGAAGTTACGCAGTGCACCTTTAAACTACGGGCGTTTGCGAATGTTACGATTTTACTTATAACAACCCAAAAAATTCAAGTCTTTTTAAAAGTTTTGTGGATAGTTCTTGTTTTGCAGTGACGGTCGTCGTTGTCGTAGAAAGAATCGCCTGAAACTGTTCGAAGCCCGTTCATTTCATCTCCAACTGAACCAAAGACTCATAAGAAGATTCGATTCCGACGTGAGGAGAACGGAAAATGTTTTTGGATTAATTTGCAGTCGACAAGGACAAGGAACCACCTACGAGCGCCATGGAAACACGAGCTCTTCTGTGGAGCACTGCCGAGGCTCTGTTCACGTTTACGTCACAAACCAGGACGACGTTTGGAAACATTCGGCGACAACTTCCGGTTTAGTTCTCGACACTGGATTTGCCGACCGACTGTGATCAAACCCACTGAAGTAAATGTGATCAGCGGTAAAATGAAGACCGCAGACATATGTGCTGTTTGGAATCATCTTGAATCATCATGTCCTGGCCGTTCGGGGTTTTTTTTTTTTTATAAAGTGATGGAAATGTCCGGGTTTTCATTACCGTTCAATGGGCCATTAAATTAAGCGTCTCTTGTAGCTCTCTGTAACTCAGAAAGAGCGAGCAGACACAAACAGTCGATCAACCTGTAACATGCCGAAGTGCAAATGCGCATTTAACGATGACTTATGTACAAGAAAGTCCCTGCAATTCCGTCCAGTTCGTTACAAGTGTTAGACCATGTGCACACTGTACAATAGGGTTATAACTTTTTGAACTTTTTTTCCAAAATCAAAGTCCTGCATCATGTTTGGATGAACTTTTTAGTATAATTGAAGAAACCAAACTCCATTTTCAACACTCTTTTAAAAAAGTCCCCCCGAAACAAAAACATATTAAATACACATTACAGCCAATGATATGAAATGTGAAACGGTGCTAAGTTCTCACAAGAGCCATTACAAGTCAATTTGACTGAAAATGGATCAATAATAAGTTGTACTGCATCATAATATACTGGAGTTTCACTTTCTATTCTTGCTTTCACTTTATAAGCCATCAGAGTACAAATTAAGAGTAACTGTATTCAGTTACAGTTACTGTTTCAGTGAGTGGTAATTGGATTACAGTTACTTGGTTGAAATAAATGGATTACACAGAGGGATTTTCCTGTTTTCACATTTTGGGTTATATCCCTTTTTTTTTTTTTTTTTTTTTTTCTTTTTCTGGTAATTCCACTCATTGCCAGACACTAAATCAGGTCTAAATCCAGGTCCAAACCAGGACTAAACCAGGACAGAACCAGAACTAAAACCAGGTCTAAACTATGTCTCAAACAGGATTTAACAGGACTAAACCAGGCCTTGCGGACCGTGTCTCCTCCTCTTCTATCAATAATATTTTTAATTTGGTTCAGTAAAGTCTGGGCTTTTTCATTTTCTTTTATCAGACAAAACATCTTATGTGAAGATTTCCTCGTCTTTGTTTCTCTACAGCAAATCATGTAATCCAAAGTATTCAGATTACATTACTCACTTTAAGTAATTTAATGGATTATGTTACAAACTACATTTTGGGATCTGTAATCTGTAGGGGATTACATTTTAAAAGTCACCTTCTCAACACTGGTTGCTAACCAACACTGACAATCATCATTTTTGGACTTTTAGTTTCCTAGTTTATATGATCTTTACCCTGATCATGTGTTTTGTTCCTGTGTTTTTAAAGAGAAAATTGCCTTTGATTATTTTACGATTGAACAGATATGAACCTTCTAACAGTTTTATTCTGGTTGTTGCTTTACGAAAACTTCATTTTGAGTCCGGGGGGACTTTTTTCAAAAATATGACCAATTGAAGGTCAATTCCTTTCATTACTGGCAAAAGTTCATCAAAATATGACACAGGGTACAGAGGTTGTAATAAAGTTATAACACTAGTGCACAAAGCAGCACATATGTTTCGGTGTCCAGTGGGGGTGTCAGGGACCTCAAAGCTCAACAGGACACCCAGAAACTTTAAAAAGCTTTTCCAGGTGAGAGTCGCTCAATGTCAATGACGATGCCCCACCCCCCACCCGTACGGTGTCCTGGTTTTGACAAATGCAAATATGGTCACCCTAGATTCGGCGAACATAACAGAACGCTACAATGACATGAAGATGAAGAAACCTGGAACATTTTCTCATTTTTCCTACATTTTGTCAGACTTACGACCACGAATAGAGCCCGCCGGAAGTTCCAAACGTCTTCCTGGTTTGTGACGCAAGCGCGAATAGACCCAGTGAATCAGATGGGCGTGATTGACGGGTGGATTGGCCAATCAGAGACGCACGTGGTCCGTTTGTATCAGAACAAACACGACGACGTTTGAGCCTCTGTATAAAAGTCCCTGAGTTTTAAAAAAAAACAGAGACATCAGTCCTGTTTCGAAGGGACAAGGACCTGGAACCTGAATTCTAACTTCTCTTTGTGCATTTTTACGCAAGAAAACTGGTATTTTTCTTGTAAGCGGAGTCACATTTTCACAGATCTGACCTGTAACGTGTATCGTAACCTGCCTGTTTCCATGTAGACAGATACACACTTTGGAACTTTTTGGGACTTCTGGTGAAAGACTAACAGGACCATGGAGACCAGCAGTTTGCGGACCCTCCAACAGCCACGTTACATCGGTCAAAAATGGATCATGTGTTTCTCTGTTTGGTTAATTCGTCTCTCAAGGAAAAAACAAAAAAAAAATCAGGATATGGTTCCAGACCCGCTCTTCATACTTGTCGAAACATGTGGGTTTGGCTCGTCAGGCTCCCACCTACAGACCCTGGACTTGAAGTATACAGTCCAAATGTGTGGAAATCCTGGTTTTATATCCCTAATCCTCAAAGAAGCGCTTTTGTCCCACTCCTGTTTCAATACAAAACAAATTTGACAAAACAGAGGTTGGCAATGTTGTTTTCAAGAGTCCGTGTTCTATTTGTTCTTTTGAATTTCAAGGATGAAAAACAATAAAATGGGAGAACAGTTTATTACATTTTTCTCTTTTAGAGTCAAACAAAACCCAGATATCGACCTCTATTTCCGGTATTTAATTTAAAGTTTATTTCAAAAAACACCAATCGAAAAACTTGGGGCCTGTTTTAATTTAGATATTTTATTCTCTTTGGTTTATTTGCCCCGGAAGTTCTGCTGCTAGAAGGATTTACCTGAAAAATCGTTGCAGTTTTGTGGACAAACATGTTTCTTCTTCTATAGCGACACATTTGCTTTCGAGTCTTAGAAAGTTATTGTTGAACTCCGTGACGAGAAACAGGATGCAGCGATAAACTCTCTTTTGTTTAGTTGACACATTTCTCTCCAGCGACTAGGTCAGGAATCAGAATACACTAGATGGTTCGCAAAAACCCCGGAAGTGCGAGTTTGGGCACCAGCCAATCAGCGAAGAGACATATATTCTGTTATCAACGATTCCCGAGATCGAGGATTTAAAGCTGGAACAAAGAGAATGTTTGGTGAATTTCATCAAGGGGAAAGACGTTATTGTCCTTCTTCCTACGGGATTTGGTGCATTACATACGTCACGACCAAATAGCGGCGACTGGTTAAATTAAAAAAGTACCCGCCTACCGTCGAACGAATCCTAACGCTGTGAGGTCAGACGGTTTCCACAAAGTGAAACCGGCTGATGAATCAGGCTAGAGCAGCAAATAAACCAGAGAGAATAAAATATCTAAATTAAAATAGGCACCGAAACTGTTTTATGATTAATGCTATTTGATATAAACTTTAAATTAAATATTGGAAAAAGCCGTCAAAATCATTTTTTTTTTTGTTTTTTTGACACTAAAACGGAAAAATAAAGTAAACTGTTTTCTCGTTTTATTGTTTTTCGTTCTTAATTGAAATTCAAAAGGACGAGCGGGACACGGACCTTCAAGAGAACTGTCCAAAAATAGTAGATAAGAAAAAATTTAAATTGAAAGAACAGAAACCTTGGGTGTAAACTTCCAAAAAAGAATGTACTCTGCACTTCTGTGTTTTCTTCCATAGAGTTTAACATTTGCTCTGTGCTGTTTTTATATTTATTTTATCATCAAACTGTTCAAAATGAGCTCTACAAACTTTTCTGGTGGAGAGTCCGTTGTCTGGAATGTTTCACAGTGTGGCATTAAACCTTTCTCTCTTCATGTAGATGTTACTGGTCAGATCTGTGGAGAGGCGACGCCGCTCACAGTCAGAATGTTTGTGTTTCTAGGTATTTTTGAGCCATAAAACTATCTGTAATTGAATAAATGTTAAGTAGAACTGTTTAATGTCACACTGCGGAACATTCCGGGCAGATCAATGACATCGCCGTGGAAACAAGCAGGTGACGGACCCCCAGCCGAAAAGTTACACAGGTTAAAGAGGGGGTATTACACTTAAATCAACTTTTTCCTCATCAAAAACCTGCCTGAAGAGGTTTTAGAGTCATCCACGTAGGTTTGAGTAATCTAGCGATCTCTCCTGGGCCCTATTCAAACCCTCCTTTACGAAGATTCTGTGCGAGGCTCCGCCCACAATCCTACGTCACCTACACGCTCCCACACGGCAATTCAAAACAAAACGCTACAACTCCCCAAACCCGATGCGACGTCGAGTGGTTTCTGTAGCGGGACGAACGCCGATTGTGTTTTGCGATCGCGCTCTGAAGGGGGAGTGACTTAGCGTGGAGAGCATGGGGAGGGGAGACTCAGAATAGAGCATTTTCAAAACAATAAAAGGTAAAAAAAAAAAGTGATCTAAATAAGTTAAAACAGATAAACAGCAAAAAAACAGCAAAAAATTTAGTGTTAAAATTGACTCTCACAGAATCAATTTTTAACATTTTCTCAGAGTTTATATGAGTCCAATCTGCTCTAGAGTTAATTTAACATTTTTGGAAATGTTCATTAAGTAACGTGGGTCTAAAGTTCCTGTTTGACCCTAAAATCAAAAGTTATATTAATGTTTTGAGAGTAAACAGATAACACTTCATAGGATTGTCCCTGATCTGGCTAAACAACATACAGAGGTGTTTTATTTTTACACTTTATTTGAGTTAATTTAAGACGAAGTTAAGAACAGAACTGGTTCAAACTGGTCTTCTCTCGCGGGAGTTTGAAGTGGTGGTTGGAAGGAGCTAAATTAACTCTGAGGGCCTGTCCACATGACAAAGTTTTTTGGTCAAAATGGTGAAGTTTTTATTCGTTTTGGTCTTTCGTCCACATGGAGCCGGTGTTTCGAGCGAAAACTCTGTTTTTTGAGAACAGGTTCCAGAGTGGAGAAATCTGAGAACGCCGGCGTTGCGTTGTCGTGTGGACGAGCAAACCGCAGCTTTTGGAAAACGGTGACGTCACGATCCTGTCGTCGTCGTCCTCCGATGCAGCGAAGCCTGCAGCTCTCAAACTGGCCTCCGCGGACCACAAGACCTTTGTCAAAATGTGACGTGTCGCCCACAGAGCCGCTCCCGTCGCCCAACAACCAAGACACGCTGCTAACATTAATACTAACCACACGCACCACGCAGATTATGTACACGGATCAATAACAAAGTCGGATTTTGAGACCAAGTTATTCTAATAATTCTCATCCAAATTTTAATGCTGAAAACGAAAACTTATGTTTAACTTTCGCAAAACCAGACGTAAATTTTTCTGGGATACATCTAAAATCTAAAATTTAAAACGACGGTGAGGAGATCTGCATTATTAAATATTATTATCATTGTTAACAGCGCCACATACAGGCGTGTATTACATTGTTTTCACTCAGTGCTCCATTGTCGTCTGGACGTGATTATTTATTGATCACGTGGTTGGACTCAAATATTTTTCAACCGGCACAAAAAAATAAAAAATCCAGGAGCGTTGTCGTCTGGAGGCAGCCTGAGGGAAGTTGAATTAACATCAACTCGCACCCACATTTAACGTTCAAATAGTTAAAATAACACTTTTTGTCAATTTGAAATTTTAGAAGTGTCGTACCCCCTCTTTAAAATTCTTCAACTGGACTTAAATTATTTACGAGTGTGTGAAGAAATGATAAAAATAAGTTGACGTAACACAAAAGGAAAAATACATGACAAAATATGGGTTAACTTTTATTTTTTCGTGTGTGTAATTTCACAGCTCAAGTGTCTG